AAGTTTTAACCTTTTTATAAAACAACTTTTTTCATCATTAGTTAAAAAATATTTACGAGACTTTATGATGACTAAGAAATTAATGAAACTTCTATCTTGAATAATAAATTATTTATTAAATTTTTGTAGAAATATTATATTTCATTTAATTTTTGTAGAAATATTATATATATATTTAAAAAATAATAATTATATAATATAAATTACATTTATAAGAAAGTATATATATAAAATAATAATAATAATATTTATAATAATGAATAAGATCATTGAGTTTATTGAAAATAATATCGATTTAAACAATAGTGAACTGCCGTACAGTATATTCAATGTCGAGGATGTCATCGAAAAGTATAGTCAATGGTGTCGACTAATGCCCAGAATTAGTCCCTATTATGCCGTCAAAGCTAACCCCAGTCTACCGTTGCTCAAAGTGCTCAATAAACTGGGAGTCGGGTTTGATTGTGCCAGTCAGGTATAGATCATTATTTAATCTAAATATATAATTGAATACCTAATTGTTTCTATTTATTAAAAATTATATACATATTGAGGTAATTTGTAATTCATATATAAATCACTTAAACTAATAGCACGAAATTGAAACAGTACTTGAATTGGGTGCCAAACCCGAGTCAATCATATTTGCAAACACTTGCAAAACTAATGCATCGCTTGATTATTCACGCAATGAAAACATTGATTGTATGACATTTGACTGTCTGGAAGAGCTTAAGAAAATACAAATCAGACACCCGGAGGCTAGACTACTGGTGCGTATCAAAGTGGACGACTCCGACTCAAAGGTCCGACTAAATCGCAAGTTTGGTGTCTCTATGACTGATACGTTTAATCTGTTGTCGGCTGCAAAACAAATGGGTTTGACTGTTATTGGTGTGGCCTTTCATGTAGGTTGCGAAGTCCAAAGTGCCAGTTCCTATGAACAGGCAATTGCCAGTGCACGACAAGTGTTTGATATGGCCGAAGCACTGGGCTATGAGATGACTGTACTGGATATTGGCGGTGGATTTCCTGGACTATGGAGCCATAGTTTGGACAATGAGATATCATTTGAACAGATGGCTGAAGCCATCAATAGGGCCATTGATAAACATTTTGCTGATGATGATAATGGGCACTGGTATGACAATCTGACTGTTATGGCTGAACCGGGCACATACTTTTGTGAAACTGCTTTCACTGTACTGACCCGTGTGTTGTCCCGACGCGAGGTTAGTGATGACCAAAATAATTGGCCACATATTATGTATACACTGAATGACGGCGCCTACGGATCGTTCAGAGATTCTATATATATTCGTAAAGTTTATGAACCGATACCACTGTTATCATCGGATATCATAGCAAAAAGGCAGACCTATAACAGTATACTATGGGGACCGACATGTTGTAGTCATGACTGTATTCGAGATAACTGTCCTCTGGTTGAGATGTTTGTAGGCGAATGGCTTATGTTTGCAAATATGGGCGCTTATAGTACTAACTTTGATAACATTGGCTTCAATGGTATGCCGGCACCTGTATGTAGAATATATTAAAATATTAAAGAATTGTAGGGGTTTTACCAATTCATAAATTCAAATGTACTAATTTTTTTAGAAATGCAAAATTCTGTCAAATAGAAATCAAATATTAATTGGTCCCTACAATTATGTTAAAAATAATAAATAAAAATACAATTTTTTAATTAAATATAAATATTTTAACACTTATTTTGATATTTTTTTTAAAATTATTAAACTAAATAAAAGTATTAACTAAATACATAGTACTACTATAAATACTAATATAAAAACTGTAAAAATTAATTAATAATTATTTTGTTAATATATAATTTTATATTTTTATTAAAACATACTAGAATATGATATTATTATTATTGAAAATATATATATTTATAAATTAAGAAAATTAGATATGAAATATATAATTTAATAATTATTATTAATTTTTTTCTATTAATAATATTATTAAATATTTAATTAATATGTTATTTTCTTGAAATTTTGTTTTATTTTATTTTTTATTTATTTAGATAAACATTTGCTAAATAATTAAAATTTATTAGTATGTTTATTTAATATATACTAATATATATTATATTTGATTGAAAACTCATTCAATATCTTAAATATAAATATTAAATGATTAATAAAATTATAGATATAAACTAAAATATAAACCAGTAATAGTTTTTAAAAAAAATAATATTTACGTTACATATTTAAAAAAATTTTAAAAATTAAAGTAACTAAAAATATATAACTATTAAAATTAATTAACTGTCCGTTTTTCAATTTTCAATAACAACATTTCTGGACAATAGGTATAGTGTTCGACAATCGGATTGGTTTTGAATACGGTTTGGTTATTATTTAGCTTTAAAAACTTGTAGCGCATCAACAAATGTGCCATGGTCAATTTGATGGCCATCAGTCCAAATCTATAGCCGGGACACATACGACGGCCCAAACCAAACGGCAGATACGCCGAGTCAATCAATTGGTGTCTGTTATGTTTGAGGAACCGGTCGGGTATGAACTGGTCGGGCATCGGGTAGTAATCTGCAGAGCGCTGTACTGCTGATCGTGAAAACTGGATTACCTGATCCTTTTCGATGGTAACACCTATTTATTTTTATATCAAAATTATAATAATTATTATTATTATTAGTTTTTTTTAAAATTAACAATTTTTAGATAGTTCTCACCGGTTGTCGCATCTGTATAGTCCTGATTGGCTACCCGTCCGTCTCTATTGACAGCCGCGTGCAGTCTCATTGCTTCCGATATACAGGCATCCAAATAGTCCAGTTTGACCAGTGATTCCCAATCAAACAACTGGCCGTCAATTGTCGTACGATTATTGCTGCTGTTATCGGAATCCCGATCCCGATAACAGGTCATAATTTCTTCGTAGACTTTTTGCTGACACTCGGGATTGATGGCCAACTCGTAGATAATGAATGTCATGGATAGCGAGTGGCCGTCAAACCCTCCCTGAAATAAGGAGAACATATTGGCCACCACTTCATCTTTGCTCATCATTTGATCAATTTTTGACATTTCTATATAAAAAATATTAGTAAATAATTATATATTTATTTATACAATAAGTTATTAATTTTAATTTTACGGTCAGTGTTCAGTGTTAATATCATACCCGACTGTCCGACTGTTTTATTGTCCGACGATTCGCCCATAAATTCCGGACATCGGTTGAGCAGCGATTGAAAAAAGTCTTCGTAGGTATCGGTGCTCACAGACGTCTGACGTTTACTATACTCATCGACTGTTAGCTTAGCGAATACGTCGAGCGCTTCGGTAGATATAATATTAGACATATTAAGCACTTGTAGCATAAATTTTGGTAGTACTAGATTGGCTAATATACGCCATTTTGATGGAAAAAATAAACGTTTCATTAGCCGGGTAATTTTATTGTTAGGCTCATTGAATGAATTTGGTTTCCACGAAAACATTACCGAACCCATCAAATCAATCGACTGATTGACAAACAACTGTCTAATGTCGACACCAGTAGTCGACTGATCAACCAATAGCCTGTCCAATGCATTGGTTAAATCTACTAAATTGTTGTCAATATTTTTGGCCATTGCTCGGAGTTTCTGATCGGTAAACAGTGTCCTAATAACCGATCGCATTCGTAGCCAACAATCGTCGCCCGTATTGTCGATAACATACCGATAGATTGGATGATCGCTGGGTGTTAGCAATGCTGGTCTTGTATTGCGAAATATATTGAAATCTTTGATCAAAATATTTTTGATTAACTGGGGATCCGATGTCATCATAATTGGTTCATTTGATTCAAAAATACTTTTAATATATTTAAGTAAATGTAAAAAGAAATTAAGTATAAATACTAAAAATAATTTTATAAAATCTTGTTTTATTTATTCACCCATAAGTTGGTCCATATTTTTGACGTCTCTCTCTATCGATGACCGAAATCGGACGAAACAATTCCTCCAATGTATTGCCAAACCATATCCAGGGTTTCGGTCCGTTTAGGCCTCTGTCCGACCAATAGTTATAATTACGGTTAAGATAACTAAAAAAATTGATTATTTTTAGTTCATAAAAATTTTAATATAGTTAGTAATTTGTGAATATATGTATATATATTTATATTGAATTAAAAAACATTCATTATCTTTATTTTTTAGTATTATGGTATATACATACCTGCGAAACAATATTAATATAATAATAATACTAATAATGAATAAAAGTAACATTTTAAAAAATATTAGTTTGTCTATAGTTTTAATCAACAATAATGATATTTTATTGACTAAAGTATAGATATAAATAATGCTTTATAATATATATTTATATTTAAACAACAATTTTCTTTTAAATATACAATTCACATCAATATAACAATAAATTTTATTAAATTATTTCTATTAATTATTAATAAAAATTAATTTATAGTAATTAATATTAAATATAATTATTCTAATATTATTTCAACATATACATATATATATTTGCTATTAAATATAATTTTTGATTTTTATGCAATGTCATATTTACGTAAAACAATTATTAAGGAGAGTAAGTAATCGACTGCCTGTTAGCATACGACCGGGGGGTGGGGGTGGGTTCAATACCCAGATAGGTTACCAGTGTTTTATTGTCCATTCAAGTCTAGCCCTTTAAATTGCAGTTAGTTTGGGTAACCCCTCTCCCACCCAACCCCCCAAAAAAACAAACAAATTACTGTTTTTTTACAATATACTAACTTATTGTTTGCTTGTAACTCCTAATTACAACTATGCTTACGTGTATTATAATAGACAATAATAATATTAATTTATTTATTTTTTTAAATCCTAAAGTGACTACAATATATTAAGACATAAATTGAAAATCATGAATCATGATTTTTTTAATAAAAAATATATATTATTATTTTTAGTTAAATTACAAAACAAAAAAAATTACTGAGAAAAAATATTACATTTTTATAAAGTTTTGTTAACTTTATTAGTATTGATTAGTATTAGTATTGATTACCGGTTCGAGCAGTGGTATCGGCGCCGGTATGGCCGTAGAGTTTGCCAAATGCGGTGCCCGTGTTGTAGTCACAGGTCGTAATCAGGATCGGGTCACAGCTGTGGCCAATCAATGCCGTGCAGTGTCCACACTGTTGACAACAACAACAATACTGCCAATTGTGGCCAACATTTGTCTGGAAGCTGACTGCCAGCTACTGGTGAACAAAACTATTGAAACCTATGGCCAGATAGACATTTTGATCAACAATGCCGACTGTCCAGACAGTTGCGATCTATTGGATCCAATGTTTACTGAAAAATTAGACCAATTACTTGATATAGAGCTCAGGGCTACTGTCAGACTGACACAGCTATCCGTACCTTATTTAGAGAAATCTATTTTTGGTGGTAATATTGTCAACATATCGGCTAACATATGCACAGTATGTTTGTTATTATTATTATTATTATTTGTTAAATACACTTATAATTATCTCCTATATATATGTATGTTTGGATATCTGTATATCTTTATATATATATATATATATATTGTAGCACTCGATGGTTTCAATGCACTCTACGGCTAAAAGTGCACTACAAATGTATAGCAAGTGTGCAGCGGCTGGTTTGGCCTCCCATGGTATACGTGTCAATGTTGTTGTGTAAGTATGTGGGGGATGGGATGGGGTGTGGTAAAGGTGATATGGGAAAGATTTTTAAAAAATAAAATTATTTTTGTTTTTATATATTATATATATTTATAATATAACAAGTGTTGGCGTAATTACTACGGAAACCATGTCAGACTATGGTATTACCAATGATGGTCTGGCCAACTATGCTGCCCGGCTACCAGTGCGTCGTGTCGGTCAAATTGGTGATATATGGTCAGCGGTTAGTTATTTGGCCTCATCAGTGAAAGCCGGTTTTGTTACCGGTTCAACTGTTAGGGTTGTTGGAGGCGAACACGTGGCGCACGTGTTTGTCGAACAATATCTATAAATTGGTTATTAAAAAACAGATATTTTATTTTTTCTTTATTAATAAGTTTAAAAACTTAGTCATTTAAAAATGTAAAAGCAATAGTAAAATGTTTTGTGTGTGTGTGTGTGTGTGTATGTATGTATGTTTGTGTATGTATGTGTGTATGTGTGTGTGTGTATATATATGTGTGTGTATGTATGTGTATGTATGTGTATGTATGTGTATGTATGTGTATATATGTGTGTATGTGTGTATATGTATGTGTGTGTATGTATATGTGTGTGTGTGTGTGTGTGTGTGTATGTATGTGTGTATGTGTGTGTATGTGTGTGTGTATGGGGCCTCGGTGGCCGAAAGGCTAAGTTGTCGGCTTTCGAGTACGACAACCCGAGATCGATACCCGGACGGGCCACCTAAGTTTGTTGGGATTTTTAACGCGAGGAAACAGATAATATGTGTACGAAGAACTGTCCACATATATAATGCTGTCCTATCGTTAATAGGTACTCCTCTAACTACTGCACTCGGCGGTTATGAGTGCTATACACAGTATAACCAACAATACTAGAGAGAAACATAGTTTAAGGGTTCTCAAAACCCCGTGCATGCAATCATTGTAAAAACGGGGGATATAAATCCTGGATATTGTATGTGTGTGTGTGTGTATGTATGTGTGTATGTATGTGTGTATGTATGTATGTGTGTGTGTATGTGTGTATGTGTGTGTGTATGTTTGTGTATGTATGTGTGTATGTGTGTATGTATGTGTGTGTGTGTGTGTGTGTTTATGTATGTGTGTGTGTATGTATGTGTGTGTGTGTATGTGTGTATGTGTGTATGTATGTGTGTATGTATGTATGTGTGTGTGTATGTGTGTGTATGTGTGTGTATGTTTGTGTATGTATGTGTGTATGTGTGTATGTATGTATGTGTGTGTGTGTGTGTGTGTGTGTGTTTATGTATGTGTGTGTGTATGTATGTGTGTGTGTGTATGTGTGTGTATGTATGTGTGTATGTGTGTATATGTATGTGTGTGTATGTATATGTGTGTGTGTGTATGTGTGTGTATGTATGTATGTATGTATGTATGTGTGTATGTGTGTGTATGTATGTGTGTATGTGTGTGTATGTATGTATGTGTATTAATTCATTTAATTGCAATTCATTATATTTATTAAAATATTTGTTATTTTACAGACTTAATGTTTAATGTTTTTTTGTCAATTCATTTGATATAATGAATGACTTAATTTTTTTTTTGAGTTTTTCTGGAAATGCTTTCTAGCATTTTCAACTGGCTTATAATTTTTTTTATTACTATAGTTTTGATATTTTTTATAAACTAATATAAATACAAAAAATATAGTAATTCTAGGTTTTATTATTATATTAAAAAAATATATTTAATGTCATTTACATTTACATTTTTTTGATATTGTTATAGGTAGTCACTGCCATTTCAATGCTATACTGATTGGTGTTTTAATGCTATAATTATTTCAATACAAAAGTGATTTTTGTTTGTGTTTAAATTTACTAAAGTGAATTTAACACAACTCTTAGTTTTATTTTTATTTAAATAATTATATTTGCAAACCAAGGTTTGTTTAATGCTAAAATCTACAATTCAATCTTAAAATGCATTGAAATGTTATATAGAAAAGTAAATAGTAAACTCCTACTTTTAAGTAAAGTTTTATTTTATTTTTATTTAGTATTTCACTGTTAAAATAATGCATTGAAATGTTATACAGAACAGTGAATAGTAAACTCCTACTTTTAAGCAAAATATTATTTTATTTTTACTCTGTATTTCACAGTTAAAATAATGTATTGAAATGTTATACAGAAAAATGAATAGTTTACGCCCAGGGATTAAAGCTGACTCAATACGACCTAATTATTTCTCACGTACACTTTAGTATAAATAGTGGTGTCTCTCAGACATCAAAATCAGTTCTCCTCAGAGAGCTCTCCTGGGAGAGATCTCCTCTTGGAGTGCTACAGCGTATAACTGTTTCTAAGATGAAATAAAGTATGCATATTACTTTGTGTGTATTACTTACTCGTCGCGGCTGGTGGACTTGGAATGCATCATGAATTACATTATAGATGTTATACTGATGGAAGCTGACCACGATTACATCATGGATAAAATTATGGATTGAGTCATGGAAATAAACCATGGATTACGTCGCGGATGACATTATGGATCACATATGGGTTCACTACAGGCCCAACGGTTCTACAGGCTACAGTTAACATAATGGACAGCTATCGAACGCCGCGCCGATGGAAGTCGACCACTAATTACGTAAGCGAATACTATTTAGAGGGGAACTCCGGTACTGTGTCCGCTACACGGTAGGATCTGACCGGTCCGACCAAAGACTAGTGTTGACATGTGACGACGTTGAGTAAACCTTATCATTGAGTAACCTATTATAGGCTATGCAAAAGTTAGCGCTATGATAGGTTAACTCAGATATAGTAATAAGTCACCAGACACATTGGTCAACCGTTACACTGTCCACCTGGTCCACTGACCAAGGTCAGAGGTCAGAGGTCAGAGGTCAGAGGTCAGAGGTCAGAGGTCAGAGGTCAGAGGTCAGAGGTTAAGGTCACATGTCCAAGGTCAAGGTCACTTGTCCAAAGTCAAGGTCACTCGTCCAAGGTCAAGGTCACACGTCCAAGGTCAAGGTCACACGTCCAAGGTCAAGGTCATCGATAACTGGAAATCCGGTTTTATGTACTGATGCCAATGGTACATGTTGGAGACCAGTAGGACAAGTGGTTATGGAGATATCAAGGAAAACATGTTTACCAAACAGACCTTAAACTAGACTTTGTACCAATCAGTTGGATATCCGTACGGTAGTATTATACGGATAGTTTATGCAAGGAACAGCATAAATTAAAACAGTCGGTCGACTAAATACTACACAAATCAACACATATAGCTTTGTACACAACCAGTGATAGGAGATCCGCTCGCTCCTTAAGCCACATACCGATAAAGATGATAATGCTGGTACGTGCAAAGCAAAGTAAGGGCTTAGTATATAAGCAATAGTAGGATTTACATCACGGGTTGCTGAACACTCATAGTGTTCACAGTAAAAATATACCCGTGATAACCCCACTTCCCTTACAATATTTATTTTTTTTCTTAATAAAATATTCATAAAAACAAAACATTTTATTGAAGACTATTAGTTAACAATTAATTTTTATTTCTTTATTTTTTTGATGTCAATGAAATCAAAAAATTTTTATTAATATGAATTTTCTAATTATTATTAAATATTGTTATTATAGTATGCATTATGATTAAGCAAATATTTTTTTAGTTTAAATAAAAATAGAGAGTAATGAAATATTAAATAAATATAGAATTTTTAAAAAACATTAAAACTTTTAAACTTATATTTTAGAATTAAATTTTATTTTTGTTGTTGTTGTAGTATTTTCAAAAATCAATAAATTTATAACTAATTTATATCTTTAACTTACATATATACTTTTCGACTTTCTTTACAATTGATCGGACAGTATTATCAGTTGTTGTAAACAGTTCCGCTATTTTTGCGTATGACTTTCCGGTGCTGACTCTCATATCATACATTTGTTGGCGAATTGCATCTGAAAATTCTTGTATTTTAACCATTTTTATGATAATCACTGCATTTACTGTTTATTTACGTGTATTCAAATTAATAACAATGCATTGGAATCAATTGGTCCCAACAATGTGTCTGAAATCACGCGCGTTTTAAAAACACGAAAATAATTTTTGTACCTAAATTATTAACACCTATAACTTTACCTTGATATATTTTGTTATTTAAACCATTGTTTTGACCATCTAGTATATCAATTTAATTGTGATTTATTACTCTATTATTTGATATCAAATTTGTTTATTTAAGTTAAAAAATAAAAAAGTTATTAAAGTTTAAAGTTAATGATATCAATATTTTTACGATACGAAATTAGATTATGTTTTTAGTGTAATTTTAAGAAAATTATCTAGCTTGAATTTTCAAATTAATACGTTTTGGTTTATTTGAAAAACTACTTATCATTACTTTGGGCGGTATATCTGTTTGTGAACATGTATTGAATCGGTATTTCAATACCAATGTCGCGAGTGTTAGTTTCATATTAATCATTGCAAACCGTTTGGCAATACACTGTCGCGGACCCAAACCAAACGGTAGAAATGCATAGGAATTCAGTTGATTACGATTTTCCGGTAGAAAACGGTCGACATTGAAGTGTTCGGGGTTTGGATAGTAGTCGGCATTCATATGCATCGCATAAATGCCAAATTCTACGGCTTCTCCGGCTTTGATAGTTATACCTGTTTGTTGGCCGTCCATTGGATAGTCGTTTTCGGCAATCCGGCCTTCAATGAGAGCCGGCGAATGCAAGCGCTGTGTTTCGCATACGACTGCCTCGAGTAGCGGTAGATTTTGCAGCCGATTGACATCTAGTTGTCGGTCGTCATTGTCATTATTGATGACGACTGTCTTAATCTCATCGTAAAGTTTTTGCTGAAGACTTTGATTACAGGCCAACTCATAGGTTGCAAACGATAGGGTAATAACTGTCACTCCATAGCCGCCAACAGTCAGAAACCAGGCGTTGGCTATGACCTCGTCGTCGGTCAAGTATTTAGTCATACCTATCATCGACAACAACAACAATACAATCATTTCATTAGTAGTACTACAATATAATGCCTACCCTTTTCATAGAGTTTATAGTTATCTTCAGCTGTTTTATTGTTATCATTAATAGTCTGGTCTTCAACAGCGTGGGCCTCCATAAGCAACTCAATAAAGTCCCAGCGCTTACCACCACTACTACCACCCGTCTCAGTGTTGGCTTTTCGCTGACTTATAATATGACGGGTCAGTTGAAAGAAGTACTCGTTGGACGTTTCGTCGGTCAGTAGATTAACACCAATCAACTTAAGGACAAACTGCGGTAATATAAGCAATGCTAGCGTACGATACCATTTGGGATTCAAAATCTGATTTATATTTATGATAAACGGGTGGTTCGGAGTAACCGCACAATTCAAGTCAATAGAGTAGACAGTGGCGGCTACGGTGTCCAACACTGAGTTTTCAAACATTTCTTTCATATTGATTGTCTGTCCACTGGCGGCATACCTGTCCATAACTGTTGTCAATTGTTTCAAACACTGTCTAACCTTTGGCATCATTGACCTGATCTTTGCCGATGTAAAAGCTGTACTCATTATAGATCGGATCCGTTTCCAGTCCCGACCTTCAGCTTCATCTATATTGTGACAGAGTATAGGATGTTGTCGTGTACTTAAAACGGCACGATTTGCCCGATTTATAAAGTTTGGCCAATTTTTCACAAAGATTTGTTTGACGAGATTTGGTTCAACAATCATAAGCACCGGTAGATTGCCGTCAAAGTAACTTTAAGTATAATAATGTGATAATAGATATTATTTTTTATTTTTTATTAGTTTTAAAATACTAATGATTATGATATAATAAACTGTTACCCATATATGTGTCCATATTTATTCATACGCTGGACATCGACATCGGCCCGCGTGCGCCATATTAGCGGCAGATTATTGCCGAAACCGATGACTGGTTTCGGACCAGTTATACCCCGTTTTGACCAATAATCAAAATGTCGAGTAAAATATCTATTTATTTATTTGTATGAAATTATTTGATATATTATTTACTAAAATTTATAATGTAAAACTTACTTATAAATAAATATTAGTACTGTAGTTATAAAAATTATTAATACTATAGATAACATAGTTTCAAATTTTTAGAAATTAAAAAAAAATATTATTTTAATATTTTTAAAAACTAATCTAAAAAATTATTATTTTAATATTTTTAAAAACTAATATAAAAAATTATTATTTTATATATTTTATATATAAGTGTGTTTTTTGTCTAAACTTATTATTTTGTACTTAACAATGATTTAACAAATATTATTTTTTATTGTGTATATATTACTTGAATTTAATTAATAGAAATACATATTAAATTTATAAATATTTATAAAATAATAAAATATATTAAATAAAACTTATTCTATTAAAAATTAACTTTATATATATATAAATTATTTATAATACTAAAATAAGATTTAATTAATAAATAAAGTTATTAAAATAATTGACAATTTTTAATATATAAAGTTAGTTCAATTCAATTGATTTAATAGTTTAAAAATTAATATAATTTATATTTAATAGATATTAGATCATAACATTATTATTATTATTATTATTATTATTATTATTATTATTATTATTATTATTATTATTATTATTATTATTATTATTATTATTATTTTATTTTAAGTATATTTTTAATTAATAAAGTTGTCTTAAAAACAAAATAATTTATTAAACACTATATATCAATTGCTCTTATAGGTAAATTATTATTTGGTTCCTACAAATATATTAAAAATAATAAAATATAAATGATTATAACAAATATAACATTTTTTAAGACATGAAAATTTTAAATAAAATAAAAATATTTTTTGAACACTTAATTGATGCTATTGTACAGTTAATATTTAAAATTATCGCAATAAAAACTAGCAAACATTAAGTTAAATTTTTTTTAATTAACTTTATAGATAAAGTTTTTATCAAAATATTTTTTTTAAAAATCTAACTATTCATTAAATGGACATCGATTAATAATAATTATAAATATTTTTACAATTAAGTAATATTTTAATGAAATCTTGTTAATTTTATTTAATAATTTTACTATTATTTTGCTAATCTAAAAAAATTAATAATTTATATTATTATTTAAAAATACAAATACTTAAAATTTTTTATTGCTTAGATGATTACCAAACAAAACACATTGAAAAAAATGACAATTTTTAAATTGTGTAAAAAATAATGTATTTTTCAATTTGTAAGCTCCGTATTCACCGATCATTACCGATATGGCAGTCGACTGTTCAGTCGGTACCGGTATAATACACGAACAAATTACACGTAAATTTGAAACACCAAACACTTTGAAATTTTCATCGACAACAGCACCGGTTTGATCATCGGGTGATAGACCTATACGGCAGCCGCCCATCGGTGATACATAATCGGTATTTGTTTGGATAATACATTTGAGATAATTGTCGCAAAAATAATTGTCCGAACATGGATTACAACCGGGAACCGGATATCTATATAATTGAATATATTTTTGCATTGACGGGCTTTGGTAGATGTTCAATGCTAATTTCAATGTTTTAACCAGATCATCAATGTCGTTTTTATTACAAAATTGACACGGATCAATTAGTGGTGGTTGGCGAGGATCGGTAGCCGATGCTAGTTGTATACGACCAGTACTTTTTGCGCGTTTCAGTGTCGCATAAATAGGAAAACTGCTACGATTTAGGTATGGCCGATAAAATTTGCGCCATCGGTCAGGTTGTTTGTATGGGGCAACTAATGTATCAAAATCTGAACCAACATAACCGGTTCGTAGTAATATACAACCGTTGCTCAGTTGTGGATACGTACTGCTATTGTATGGCAGTTCCGGAAAACAGGTCACACCCAATGAATTCTGACTTAAGGGTCCGGAATGGTTGACCAAAAATTTGTAAATATTGTCAAATGTTTCCAATGGTTTGTCGACAAGCGATTGATTGATTATATCAAATTGAATCGCTTGAATAAATGGCGAATAAATCATATTATGGCCAACTTTTAGATTAGAAACCAGAGGAATACCCATTTGTTTTAAATGATCTGCCGGTCCGATACCCGATAGCATCAACAGCTGAGGACTGCCTATAGCACCGGCACTTATAATCACTTCCTTATTGACAAAAACATTGTGCTTTAGGTCATCATTTCCGAGTACTTCAACACCGATCGCCCGTTTTTTATCGTCAAACAATATTTTTGTTACCAAAGAGTTAACCAAAACTTTTAAATTTTTATTTTTATTTACGTCGAGAAATACTTTTGAAATTGATTGACGACATCCCTGATCATCGATAGTATTTTGGATGAGTGTTGTTCCCATTGGTTGCCTACCATCCATGTGTGTCCAATTGTAGCCCAATTTTTCCGATGCAATTATATAATGTTTAAAAATTTCATCAATAGTAGGTGTGGTTACTGTCAATTGTCCACCAGATCTATGATAACTGCGCTCAGCGGTAACTAAATTGTTGTCCAAATTGTTTTCGGTTTTCAGAAAAAATGGCAAAACATCGTCAAAAGTCCAACCTTTCAGACCGGTTATATCGGACCACAATCGGTAATAGTCGGGACATTCGCGATAGTAGTTCATTGAGTTAATGGCTGTCGATCCGCCCAATACTCGGCCCTGCGGTATGTTTACCCTATTGTCTACATAACCTAAATATGAATATTTTTGGCTAACAATAGGATAATTCCAGTTTTGGTCGGTTTCGGTTAGTTTCGGTTCAAATGCTAATTAAAAAATTTTATTATTAAAAATTTATGTTTAATTATATTTATAGATTGATTTATTAATAGTATTATTTATTTAGTAATTAATTATTTTTTATTATTATTACCCGGAATATCATTGTATAAGTTTTGTTTGCCGCCCGCTTCCAACAATAATACACTTGTTTGGCTATTTTCAGCCAACCGGGCGGCCACTGTTGTACCCGAAGCTCCCGAACCGACTACAATATAATCATAATATTTATTATTAATATCTTCAATGATGTTATCAACACTGTTTGATTCAATTATTTGTTTTTTACTAACTATTGTCAATAATAAATATAACAATTTTAGCATAGAATACATTTTTTTAAAAATTTTAATTAATGAAAATATTTTTGTTTTTATAAATTAAAACTTATTTTTTTAATTTAATAAATTTTCAGTAGATTGTGTTTAATGTATTTCTTGTACTTTATTTTTTTGTGTATCATACGTAAACTAAAATTATACCAATAAAAAAAACATTTATAATGTTAGTTAGTATTTAAAAAAATAATAATATTTTGCAAATCATTATTCAAAAAAAATCTATAAAACAATGTTATAACTGTTAATGTATGTCTAGAAAACAGTATATTTAATGAAAACATTTAAATAATAATTAATAAATACTATTAACATATATTAAACTGTAATGTATTTCAAAAGAAACACAAGTGTATAGAAAACACTTTAGGCGTGGTTCACATATTACGTTCGCACTTGAGGGGAGGGGAGGGGAGGGGAGGGGAGGGGAGGGGAGGGGAGGGGAGGGGAGGGGAGGGGAGGGGAGGGGAGGGGAGGGGAGGGGAGGGGAGGGGAGGGGAGGGGGGGCTAGCCAAAGCGTACTTTTGCGAACGAGGGGGAGTGGGTGGGTAGAGACTTTAAGAACGTTCGCATTTAGATAATATCTTATTTCTATTTCATTAAATAACAATTAAATGAAATTTTAAAAAATAATTTTTGTATTATACATGTAAATACTGTATTATATAAAAATAAAAAATACCGAACCGAAACCGTACAATACATTTACAGTTTACATTTCTAATTGATACTTATATTAAAACTATATTAACAATGATATCCTACCCATTAAAATATGTTAATAGTATTTATTAATTGTTATTTAAGTGTTTTCACGAAATCTCTCTCTCTCTCTCTCTCTCTCTCTCTCTCTCTCTCTCTCTCTATTTATTTATACATTACTGTAGCTAAATATACAGGTGTACAGTTAACATATACATTAACAATATATATTTGAAATTTAAATATTAAAATAATAATAATAATACTTTATAAAGTTACTTAATCTATTTACTACTTTAGCTTAATTTCAAAAAAATTATCAAATTATGTTAATAGTTAAAAAAATTGTTTTTCATATAAGAATGTACAAGATTAATTTATCAAATTTAATTATTTTTTACAATAAAATAACTTTTATTTAATTAATTTCACATTACAAATTAGATTTTTTAGATTTTTAATTTTTTTTTGAAAATAACTTTAGCTTATTTTCAAACAAAAAAAACAATAATTACGGTACAATTCCAGGTTTGTATGAAAAAAGCGTACGTCCACTACAAGTGGCCTTACAGTTGCCGGTAATCTTCAAGTGCTCGAACAGTGGCTTTGAAGTGGTCATCGGTTTGGTTATACATTGGCCTTCGGGTGGCAAATATATGGACCAACCTTGTAGTTTAGATCCAGCACAGGGACCATCATTGAATAGTCCAACTTCACGATAGTAGGTATCACCTATTATATTGTTTGTTTGTTTGTTATAGTTTAATATAAAGTATAGTATAAATAGTTTTTAAAAAAAAAACTTACCGTCAATTATAGTTACAATAAGATTATATTTGCTATAAACAACTTTATGTATTTCGCCATTACTTAACACCAAATCAAACGGATTGTCCTTATGGTTGTCGGTTATAATACCATTACATGTCATAGTATTGTTGATAACTTCGGGCATCAATATCTCAACAATGTCTACACTACTGTCCGCATCACTGATACATTCAAACAAATTCAAAAAAGTACATTCAGAGTATTGCATTGGAGTTATGGCTATTGAAATAAATTTTATTAAACAAAATTTTTTTATAAATCATTATCACCTTTTAGTTAAATTATTTTACCTAAATCTTCAAATTTGGTACAATGTCCTAAAATTTGTTAATTATAAAAAAGTTTAATTAATTTTTTAAATCAAAATATTTTTTTTATTATTAATAATATACAAACCTTGAATTGTTTTCTCTATTGATTCAGAAAAAACAACAAAATCTATATTAATTAATAATATAAATATTAAAACTTTTGATAACATTTTAATTTTTATAAAAATTCTATACAATATATCTAAAAGTATTTATTAGTTAAGTTGTGTATTAATTAAACCTAGAAATCTAATAAACTAATATTTATATATATATAAAAGTTTTAGTAATAATAAAAATTAGTAGTTTTAAAGCAATTGTAATTTATAATAAAATTTACGATGATATTTATTTTTTTAATTGAAAATTGTTTAGTAATTGACATTGACATAGAAAGTTTGACATAAATAATTTATCCTTGTTATTTTCAATTGTATTACTTTAAATTTTACTTATCAATAATAATTACTAATCAATAAATTTTGAATTGTAATTATTAAATATTCAAATAAATTTTTTTATTAGAAACTAGTGTTTGTAATGATTTCAAAATAAGTAAAGTTGTGTAAAGTTCACTAATAAAATACTTAATAAAATCCCTAAGCCTATATTAAAATATTTCAAATAAAATTTAAAGGTAATTTAATTTGTATGATATGATGAGGGAAATATAATACAGTATTATGAACCCTAATATAAATTAACATATTTATTTTTAAACAAATTTTTAAAAAAAAATGTGTTTACTAAAATCTATGGGCGCTTAAAGTGGCAAATATATTTATACGTTGATATTATGTTAATAACCAAATATATTTAATTTTATTTTAATAAACTATAAAACATAAGATATAGAATTTTTAAAAACATATTAAACTAAAAATTAATTTATTATTTAAGTAAAAACAATAAACTATATTTAAGAAATTAATTATGTTATTTAGCTTTTTAATTTATATCAAAATTTCTATTAAATAAAGATACTATAGACAACATAGTTTTAAAGTTTTAGAAATTAAAAAATAATAATAATTTTTAATTTTTAAAAGCTAATATAAAAAAATTATTACTAGCATTTTCAACTGCCTTATACTTAATTTTTATAGTTATTAAAATTTAAAAAACAAGTTAATGTTTTATTTTCATTGAAAAACTGTTTTAACGATGTCTGTTTTTTGTCTAAACTTATTATTTTCTACTTAACAATGATTTAACAAATATTATTTTTTATTGTGTATATATTACTTGAATTTATTTAATAGAACTACATATTAAATTAATAAATATTTATAAAATAATAAATTATATTTAATAAAACCTATTCTATTAAAAAATTAGAATTTATTAACTTTATATATATATATATATATATAAATAATTATTTATAATACTGAAATTAAATTTAATTAATAAATAGTTTTTAATTTTAAAAATATAAAGTTAATAGTTTCAACTGATTTAATAGTTAAAAATAATTGATATAATTTATATTTTATAGATATCAGATCGTAACATTAAAAATTATTATTATTATTATATTTTAAATAAATAAAATTGTTTTACAAACAAAATAATTTATTAATCACAATATTTATCAAATGCTTTCATAGGTAAATTAATAGTTGGTCCCTACAACGTTATATTATAATAAAAATAATAAATTATAAATGATTATAACAAATATAACATTTTTATAAGACATGAAAATTTTAACTAAAATATAAATATTTTTAAACACTACGATGATTTTGTACAGTTAATGTTTAAAATGAAAAATACATTGAATACCAGGGTTAAGCAAGGTTTTGGATTTTAGGGGGGTAGACAGAGACAAAATTTACAAAATTCTCGAAAATTCTTGGGTGGGGTAAGATTTTTATTACATTTTTAAACGGCAATTTTTTCAAAAATCCAAAATCAAGGGGGTGTCAAGAGAAAATTCCCTAATATTTCCTTAAATTCCCGAATATTCCCATGTAAATTCGATAAATTTCTTTAAGTTCCCTTATAAATTCCACGTAAAATCCAACGTACAAAGCTTTCTAGGACTAGCGAATTACTATAGAGTATTTGTACAAGACTATGCTTTTATAGCTGAACCATTAACAAACCTGTTGCGCAAAGACGTCAAATTTAACTGGGATATTAAATGTCAAAAAGCGTTTGATGAACTTAAAAATAGATTAATTACTGCCCCAATACTGGCACAATATCAAGAAGGGGCTCCCATTGAAATATTTACTGATGCCTGTGGCTATGGCATGTCAGCAATACTAGGACAGATTCAAAACGGAAAACATGTAGTCATCAGTTACAACAGTAAAATGTTTAATAGTGCACAATTAAACTATGGTATCACAGAAAAAGAATGTTTAGCTATAGTATGGGCTGTCGAACGGTATCGACATTACATATATGGCGAGCATTTTGTTGTATACAGTGACCATAATCCACTACAATATATTAGAAATTTGAAAAACCCAAACAGAAGATTAATGCATTGGAGAACAATACTCGAAGAATATGACTTTTAAGTGAAATATAAGAAAGGAAAATTACATAACAATGCTGATGCATTGTCAAGATATCCATACGAGAAACCAGACGATTGGGAACCAGTAATACCCGTACTAATAAATCCTACAATAAACATAATAGAGAAACAAGATAGTGATAAATGGTGTAAAGAATTAAAAGAGAAAATAAAAAATAATCAACAAAGTAAAAGCTTAAGCAAATTCATTATTGAAAATGAAATTCTATATAGGATAAGTTATGATGATAATAGAAATAGGAGGCTACAGTTATGCCTTCCTAAAGAATTAAGACGACAAATCCTACAAGATTTACATGACAATGAGTTGTCCGGAGCTCACTTAGGATTTGAAAAGACATATGGAAAAATCAAAGAGAGATTTTTCTGGCCTCACTGTGAAAAGTCAATCAGAAAATACGTTAACAACTGTGAGTCATGTCAGTTGAATAAGGTCGACAATAGTCGAGAAAGGAATGCTGCAGCCTATCGACGCCAATGAACCATTTGAAATTGTCGGAGTAGACATACTTGTGCCTCTCTCTCCGACGTCAAAAGGCAGTAAATACATTATAATAATGATTGACTTATTTACAAAATGGATGGAAACAAAGGCAGTGAAAAATGTACAAGCCATTACTATAGCGAAATGGTTTGTTGGTGAAGTTCTGGCAAGACACGGCGCCATTAAAAAAGTGAACAGATAATGCCAGATACTTTATATCAGACTTTATGGAAGAAGTCTTTAAGTTGACAGCCTCCAAACATGTGAAAACCACACCATATAGTCCACAATCGAATGGAACTGCAGAAAAAGCATGTGGGACTGTAGCTATGATGCTTAAACATTATGTTCAAGATAATGTTACCAATTGGGATCAGTAATTACCCAAAGTAACATTCTCGTATAACGTTAGTAATCATAAAGCTACCAAAGTTTCTCCTTTTTTTACTATATGGAAGAGAACAAAAAGTACCAATTGACGTATCTTATGATCTACCGCGTGACTTTGCATTTGGTACTAATTATTTAAAATATATGGAGGAAACAAGAAGATTGGTTCAAATGAGAATTATAGAGGCTCATAATGATGGTAAATTCCGTTATGATGCTAAACATCGCGATGTAGTATTTGAGGAGGGTGACTTAGTGTCACTACATATTCCTCACAGAGAGATTGGTCTTAGTACGAAATTACTAAGCCAATATATTGGCCCTTATAAGATAATTACGCGGCACATTCCACTTGTATACACTGTCCAAAGTGTACATAATCCAAGAAAAAGTTTAAGAATGTACATATAAGACGATTAAGAAAATGGAACAATGAAACAATTCCTGAATTGAACGGCATTGATGAAGTAGATAGTAACAATGCTAAACATATTACTACACAAAATGACAATGAAAATCAACTGGACGATGAAATAGATGATAACACGGAAAAAGAAACAAAGCACAATGATGATCAGAAAACGGACAACGATTAAAATTTATTATAATGCATGGTTTATTGGTATTTTATAGATTTAAGTTTATATAATGCATGCATTTTTTTAAGGTGAAGGGATTTTATAGTAATATTTTATAAATACAAAATTTGTAAACTAATGTGTACATGAGTTATTAGTGTTACTAATTTTACACATCTGAGGACAGATGAAGACTTGAAGGGGCGGAAATGCAATAGTGGGTCAAATCAGCAAAATATTTAACTATTAAATAAGTTTTGTTTTTATTTAAATAATTAAAAACATAATTATTACATAAGCTAAATTATTGAAAACTTTCCCTATATTAAACAAATGCTTATATACACTAATATTTCAACATTAAATAATTTTATATTGAAGTCAAGGATAAAATACATAGTTAAAATATATTGTAAGGGTATTTTATATGTTTTACTCTGAAAAATTATTTCAAAAATTCTTATTTTTATTTGTTAAAAATTTATAACAGCACTAAAATGTTATACAGAAACCTAAAGGTAAACACCTTGTTTTTAACGAAATTTTATTCAATATTTTGTGTTGAATACAGTGTTAAAATAATGCACTAAAATGTTATAGAAAAAATTAAATAGTAAACTCCCAGTTTTAATAGTGATTAAATCCTGACTCAATGTGACACACTTTCTCCTCACGTACACTTTAGTATAAATAGAGGTGTCTCTCAAACACCAAAATCAGTTCTCTCTTTGGAGTCATACCTCGTGTATTACTTTTAAAGTAAATTAATAAAAGTATTTGCATATTACTTTGTGTGTTTATTCTATCTACGCGGACCAATCGTTGGACATCTAAAGGGACGCCTTAAGAATACATCCATAACCACGCGGACGTTAAACAACTATTACGTAAGTAAATATTTTTATTATGAGAACTCCGGGTCTGTGACCCTTGACGGGTCTGTGACCCTTGACGGGTCTGTGACCCTTGACGGGTTTGTGACCCTTGACGGATCTATGACCCTTGACGGGTCTGTGACCCTTGACGGATCTGTGACCCTTGACGGGTCTGTGACCCTTGACGGGTCTGTGACCCTTGACGGGTCTGTGACCCTTGACGGGTCTGTGACCCTTGACGGGTCTGTGACCCTTGACGGGTCTGTGACCCTTGACGGGTCTGTGACCCTTGACGGGTCTGTGACCCTTGACGGGTCTGTGACCCTTGACGGGTCTGTGACCCTTGACGGGTCTGTGACCCTTGACGGGTCTGTGACCCTTGACGGGTCTGTGACCCTTGACGGGTCTGTGACCCTTGACGGGTCTGGGACCCTTAGGTGACTTAAATTATCACTAAAAGAGTCAAAACCGTAAGGTAAGTGGTGTATTGCCGAGTGTTTGGTTTACATAAGTAAGGTTAGACAAGATTAGATACCCGTAATATACCCACTTCCCCTACATTATATATATAATATGGTTAAATAAAAAATTTAATGTTAATATAAATGCAATTCATTGTATTGCAAATTATTATTTACACATATTCAATATTGTAGTTAAATAAACAAGTGTAAATTATTTATTGAATATATGTTTTAAAATACTGGTTTAAACCAGTTGAAAATGTTTGAAATATTTCCAGAATAAAAAAAACTAATGACATAAATAAATTAATTTAATTTAATAATCATGGTGACTTATAAATACTCATAAACATACTTGTTAGAAAACGCATAATAATAATTACTAATATACATATATATATATTCATAAAATTTATAATTATGTAACCACGAGATGGTCACCTTTGACAGCACAAGGAAACACTATCTCTCAGTCACTCTCATTGGCTGACTCTTTAGGTCCTCCACAATTTAAGTGGAGGTCAGCCATGTTTTCTTTCTCTTCCACATCGCTCTCACATTCAGTCTCCGGACTAGACTTTCTTCAATCACTTCCCTTCTTTTCAATCATTAAATCAATCTATTGATTGATATCTGCCATCAAAACTCAACACAAAAACGACAATCAATTTTAATCATTTAATCAATTATTTTAATTTTATAATTTTATAAACAATAAATTTTTTGTTACTCATCATTGGTTGTGTCCACTCATTCATTATCTCATCCACGGTCACAATTACAACTTTATTTTATTAAAAAATTGCCCTTAACAACTAGTGATATCAATTTTTAAAACACTAATAAATAAAAAAATGTCATTAAATGATTTTATACGATGAAGTGCGAAACTCACGAAATTTTACCGGAAAAGTAGTATTGGTTACGGGATCGTGTGCTGGTATCGGTGCTTTAATAGTCAAGTTATATTCAGCACTGAGAGCTAATGTTGTGATCACCAGTTGATCCATATATGCTTTACACAAAGTTTCTGTTCAAGCACAACTGTCACCTAATAAACTTAAGGTATTCATTAAATTATAGATTTAAAAAAATTATATTAAATTGAATCATTGTATAGTGGCCGAACTGAAACAATCTTGGAAGGAATCCGGTGCTGTCACTGATGGTGTCGTTAAAGTTTTGGACAACGTTTATCAACAGCGATGACCATCTGGTTTTCGGACTGTTGATCAATTTAGTGCGGAGTGCAGTGACAATGGATCCGTTCACGCATTCGCACACACCGTTTGTTCAGAAACTCATTGGGCTGCGACTGAGTACATCTGCGACGTGATTCGTTGATCCCGGTCTAGGTTTGACTGTGAAATCAAAAGTGCTCAACCGGATCGACCATCGGAACAGTCGAGTGTGAACAACCATTTCAGACAGGAACAGTGTGTGATCACTTGAAATTTGGTGCCGTCGAGGTATACATGAAAGTGCTCGATGGCCTTAACCACTTCAAAGCACTCTCTTTAGCCGGAACGGGAAGAGCTTGAAGTCGATGCTTGGGTGGTCTTGAGATTTGAGACGATAGCCCAGTCGGGACAGTCTTGCTTCCAGTGCATCTCTTTTCTGCCAAAAAGTTTGCATACCGGACACTGAGAAGAATGTGCTTTGGTTTTGTTAAAGCGAGACTTTTTGTCCAATTATGGCGGTCCTTTTTGAACTTTGTCTGTTGTTTCAATTGTCTGGACCGTTGCGGTCGGCTGTTTGAAATCCAAAGTTCAAGTTCTAAAATCACCAAACGCAATACTTGCCTACTCTTGCTTGTCAAATTTATCTTTCAATTTTTAAAGTCCTGTTTTTAAAAGTTTTTTATCCATTTAGTCTGTCAGCTGTTATTAAATTTGGTTGACATTATTAAACGTTAATTGATCTCTTTTTACGATAGATGTGTATCAATTCAATCTCTAAGTTAATACTGATTTTACTCTTTTGTTGTCTTTATTTATTGATTACAATTACAATGACTTTTGTTTTTAGTGAAATCCGAATCGTTGGGAACGATAGGCACCTCCACCAGTTTATAACAGTATATACTAATAAAACACATATCATTTAGCGTCAGCGTTATAAGAAATTTAGTGTTAATTTCAGTAACAATTTTATTAACTTTTTTTACTTATAAGGATGCAAACAGAGTATTTATAATATTAATATATTAGTAAATATAAATTTAAAAAAATATTAACTTTTTATATTAATATTAAATAGATTTTATTTAATATTTGCTTTAAAATTTAAGAAATATATTATTTTTATAAAATGATTGTTAAAATTATTAATTTTATAAAATTAGTATTATTACTATTATTAATTTTATATAATAATCAATTGATTCAATGTAACATCAATATTGATTTATTGATTTTAAAAAATCACGATTTTATACAACAATTATATTTTCAATCCAATAAAACTGATAGTAGTTTAAGTCAAAAATGCAAACAAGTACTCAACTATTTGGTTAAAAATAGCAACTCTACTGAACTAATTAAATGTATGTTTAAAAAATGTTATTAAATCACTAATAAAAATTTATTTATTTATTTTTTAATAAAAACTAGTGATCGATTCGAGTGCAGTCATCGGCACCGGTATTATGAGTGGAAACTATCAATTTATGGGTCAATACAGTGAATGTTTGGATTTAAAGGCCGAGATTTTATTAGATAATCAATTATCAAAATTTAATGGTCAATATTGTACACTAAATATGCCGATAAACTATTTTTTGAAACCACAAGATATTAAGGTAAATTATTTTTTACAAATAGCTATAATTATAAATTTAGTTTTAAACAAATAATAATAAGATTATTTATAATAAAGAACAATAAATTATTAATTATTATTAAATTGATTGAAAAACGAGTTATGAATTTATTATTATTATTGGTTATAATTATTTTAAAAAGTCAATGGATGTGCTGATGTCACCATCACTTGGTATTTGTATACCTAATGTTTGCAATAAACAAGATTTAGATAACATATTAAAATCATGTAATTATTTTTAATTTTTTTTTATTATTTATTCTAAATTTATTTAATTTTCTACTTTAATAATTATATTATAATTTTATTGTTAAAAATAGTTTTAAAAACAACTGGTATTGACTTATCTATTGAAAATTGTGGTGAAAATAAATATTATCCGTTTCAATGGTTTCACATATTTATTATGTTAGCATTAATTTTTTGATGTTGGGTTAAATTAATTTATTAAAAATATAATTTTATTTTATTTTATTTATTTATTTATTAAAGATGTGTCTTTTCTGTAATTGCTTTATTAACAATAATATCAACTATTATTGACGTTTACAATAAACAAGAAAGTAAGTGGTATTTTGAATTTAATTTTATAATATTAATAAAATAATAATAATCTAGAATAAAATTTTTAATAGATGAATATATAATGATTTTATATATTTGTGATTTATATTAATAATACTATATTATATACATTTATAATTTTTTTTAAATAATATAATAGAATATATTAATTATAAACAAAAATAATTTTAATGTATTTTTTCAGAGTTTATTTATTAATTATAATTACTGGTCTTAGATAAAAATAACTGTTAGTTTAATTTATTTTATTTTTTTTAAATTCAATAAATTAGGTAATATAAACAGGATATAGTAGTATTAATATGTATATATATTAAATAATATATTGATTTAAAAAAATAAAATAAAATAAAACTAACAATTATTATTATCTAATATCAGTCAAATCAAAATGGTTTCGATGTTTGTTGGCTTTTTCAATTTCTACAAATAGCCGTCAATTGTTGAGCACTGGTAGCCAAAAACAACAACAACAACAACAACAACAACAACAACAACAACAACAAAACAGTATTAATTGTTTTCATGGTTTTCGATTTTTATCAACCTGTACAATTATATTGTTTCATAGTAATTTACTGCTTACTACTATTCAACCAATTGGTAATAATAAATAAAAAATTAATTGTAAAATAATAATTATTTTGTTTTTTTTAAATATAATTATTTTGTTTTTTTTAAATATAATTATTTTGTTTTTTTTAAATATAATTATTTTGTTTTTTTTTAAATAAAATTATTTTGTTTTTTTTCTTAAATATAGTAAATTTTCTAAATATCAATCTATTAAATGAAAATATTTTGATGCAACTAATAATTAATTCAAGCAATAGTGTCGACGAGTTTCTAGTTATGTCCGGATTTTTGTGCGCTTATAATACTATCAGAGAAGTCAATAAATTAGAGTCGATTAGAAAATATAATATTTTTTAAAAAATATTTCATCGATACTTGAGATTAACGCCATCGGTGTTGGCAGTGATTGGTTTTTCAATTGTTGTCGAACCGCTAACTAGTGGTCCCATTTGGCACCGGTATGTAGAAGAATCAGTGCTAACATGTCATCAAAATTTCTGGACACAACTATTGTATATTAATAATTTTATATATACACCGGTATGTAATAATAATATTTAATTTATTGATAGATTTATTTATAATTTTTTTAAACAAAAATTCATTCAAATTAATTAATTTAATTATCAATAGTTTTATAATTAAATATTAAATTAAATAAGATTTATTAAATTAGTTTTATCTTTAATAACTTTTGTTTGTCCAACAAATTGACACAAATATGGACTAAATCTGTCTCTTAAATGATTTTAATTAATTAAAATAAGATTTAAATTCAATTAATTAATAAACCAATAAAATCAAGTTGAGCGTCTATAAAATGGACAAACAAGTTATCAATAGTAAAAATAATGTGTGATTTTCATATAATTTAAAAATAAAACAGTTAGTTGTTCTAGTTATAAGCTTGAAAATTTATTTATGTAGTTTTTGTTTAGTTTTATAATGTATATATATATATATATTTGTAAAAAATAATAATAAAATCAATTCTAAAATTAAAATTAGTGTTTGGAACATACATGGTATCTATCAGCTGATATGCAACTATTTTTAGTGTCACCAATATTTACCATATTATTAGGATGCAAACAAATTAAGTAAAGTATTCAACTAAAATTTGTAGTATAATTGCATATTTAACCAAAAACATACATACATCTAATGTTAAGATACAAAAATACAGTAACAATTATACATTAATAAAGTCATTTATTGCAATCATAATTGATTCAAATTGAATCAGAGAGAATAATTAACTACAAATAATTAATGAAAAAACCATATTTTTAAAATAAACCAGATAAAATGTAATGAGCATTGCCAGAAACAAACGTTGATGGAACAAAATAAACGCAACTATAGTCATGTAGGGTATCAAATGATTTAGTGTGATAAAATAAACACAACTATAGTCATGTGGAGTATCATATAGCATGACAAAATAAACAATTATAGTCAATAGGGATATCACATGATTCAGTGTAACAAAATAAACTCAACTATAGTCATATGAGGTATCAAATGATTTAGCATAACACAATAAGAACACTATAATCATTTTGGATATTAAATGATTCAGAATTACAAACATTAGCATACATTAGCATACATTAGCATACATTAGAATACATTAACATACATTAAAATACATTAACCAGGGTTAAGTAAGGGGGTAGAGCCAAAATACCCCCTTAAGATAGAGAATTTGGGATTTTACCCCCCAGACTTTTTTACCAAATTGGAAAAATTGTCGCTTAAAAAAGAGGAGAAATGACCCCCCCCCCCAAAAAAAAAATTCGACGCCGAAGACGCAGATTAAAACTATTTTAGTATGTGTTTTTACGTTTTTAAAAGTTATATAAATCTAATTATTGATTAAAAATAAGTAAAAAAGTTAAAATAACGTTAAAACTCATCTAAAAATAACATAATTTTAATTAAAAGATTAAACTAAAAAATTAAAAATTACCTATTTGTAAGGAGTTAGGGAAAATTACCTCCCTTGATTTTGGATTTTTGAAAAAATGCCGTTTAAAAATGCAATAAAAATCTTACCCCACCCAATACCCCGCAAGATTTTTCGAGAATTTAGTAAATTTTACCCCGGTCTACCCCCCTAAAATCCAAAACCTTGCTTAACCCTGACATTAATATACATTACTATACATTACCATACATTACCATATATTACCATACATTACCATACATTACCATACATTACCATACATTACCATACATTACCATACATTACCATACATTACCATACATTACCATACATTACCATACATTACCATACATTACCATACATTACCATACATAACCATACATTACCTTACATTACCATACATTACCATATTATACCATACATTACCATATTATACCATACATTACCATACATTTAATTATTTATATTTTGCCGCCATTTTTTGAAATTCTATTATATATTATTTTTAATGCTTTATACAATTCTAAACGTTTACTTAAATATTTTTTTTATATTTTGGCCTTTATTTTAAAAAAATTAAAAATGCACTATTATATCTTATTTTTAGAAATGTAATTTTTAAATGTAAAATTTTTACTTAATTTTTTTTACTTTCGCCGCTATTTTATCTATGTTCCTGAAAAGATATCAAAATTTTAATGCTGATTTCTTATATCTGATTTTGTTGCTTTATTTAAATATATAACAAACAAATTTTACCTAATTTTGGTAACTTTGGCCGCCATTTTATCTATGTTCAAGAAAACTTACAAAAAAATTTATTGCAGGTCTCCTATATCTTATTTTAGATGTTAAAATAATACTGTCTGTTAGATGATATAATTATTGAATTGTATTAAGATATAAAAATTATCTATTAATTTATAGAAAACAATATTTAGGTATTGGTATAAATTTGTTGGCAATAATTATAAGTTGGATTGTTATCGCATATTATTTAGGCATATATCACGATCCACCAGTTTTTATCTATAGACACAAGTAATTAAATATTTAAAAAAATACTTAATTATTAATTAATTTATTATTATTATTATTATAATTTTTAGAGAATTTATATATACAGTAAAAATTTATTCGACATCATACTGTCGATTTGGTGCATATAATATGGGTATACTAATGGCATACGTATATATTAAACATAAATTTATATTTAAACCGGTTAGTTGTATTATATACCTAATTATATAAAATTTTAAACTATTAAACAATAAATATATGAACCAGATTTTCTAAAGGAGGGTTGGGTTAAAACCTTCTATTTCACCTAAGATTATAATTTTTGGTCATTTGACCATATGCTAAAAATTTTAAGTTTAATTCAAATTAATAGTTTATGTATAGGAAATAGAAAAAATATTTAACTAAATCTATTTAAGATTATTTACACTAATTTAATAGGAGTTTAGTGGGATTTTTTTACACTTATCTCACCCTATACCCCCCCCTGAAATCATAAATGGTTAGCAACCCTTATACACTTTTAGTGATAGCGTATTTTTCGTTATAATGATTAGACAAAATTATTTTGAAACTTTTATTATAACTTTATAATTATTCTAACAATATTTATTTAGACAAAATTATAAAAATTTTAACCTGTAATACTAGTGTTTTTTGTGTAAATTTGTGTATATAAAAACTATATATCAATTAACTAACATTTTTTTTATTAAATTATTTTTTTTGTCTGAAAATAATTTTAAAAAATAATAATAATTAAAAACAACAAAACTTTCTAAACATGCAAAAAAAGTTAATAAATAAAATTCTATGGTTGCTATGTATTTGTAACATATTGGCCATATATTTGGTACCATATGTTTGGACAATTGGCTACAGTTATGCCAATGTTGGCAGTGTTATATATGCTACACTACATCACACACTACTTGGTCTAGGCTGGGGCTATATTCTGTATAGCTGTGCCATTGGCCAGGGAGGTCTGATTAATCGGTTGCTATCGTGGCCAGGATTTGTACCGTTAAGTAGACTATCCTATCAGATATATCTCTATCATTTTGTGATTATCAAGATTTTCATGTATTCATCTGAACAACCAATTTATTATAATATAACGGAAGTGGTTTGTAAATAAAAAAAAATTAATATTACAGTTTGTATAATAATTATTATTTTTTAATTCAAGTTTTTGTTATTTTTTCAATGGTTAACATTGGGAACTTTGGTCAGTTATTTGGCGTATGTTATGTTTGAAGCTCCTGTTAGTAAAATTGAACAAATCTTATCAAAATAAATTTTTTAATTATAAAAAATTAAAACAAATAAAATGATAAATATAACTATTATTTTTTGAAGCAATTGATTAATCTTTTGTTATTACGCAAAAAAATAAATAATTTTAATTTAGTTTAATTTGTTGATCAGTTAATGAATTCTTAGATTATTAATTTTGTTTTTTCCAACAATTGATTTGTGATCTGAGTTTTATACTATTTATACAAAAATGTGTTAAACTTTCTCATATTATTATTGTTTTTTAAAGTACAATTTAATAAATAGATTTTGATTATAAATTTAAAAGCTAAAAATTATTTATATTATTATATTGACGTTATTTATGACTTGTATATATTTATTAGATGAACTTTTAAACTATATTACTAATTTTAAAAACAAAATTTAGTATGTCGAATAGTTTTCGAAATAATCAAATTACAATATAAATAATACTATTGTAATTTGATATTATAATTTATATTGAAATTCAAATATTTCAAAAACTAGTCGACATTAAAATTTTGCGTGAGAATCTTAAACAAAGGTGCTTTTAATTTCAATTATCTGGTCAACAATACGTTAGACTTAAAAGTGACCAAGGGCAATGTTGTAGATAATTTTAAACTGGATAATATTGTAATTGGTCATTTTTTTTAATTAATTATATGATTGGGCAGATAATATTTCGAAGGACAATCACTCGGCTAACAAGTACTGACGGACTTTCGGACATCTATAGGGTCATGTTGTCGATGGCTCGGACATAATCTTCCATCAATTGACATTTGTCTCAGGCATCGTAACAGGTAATAAAAATTACCGAAAACTTCCAAACCTTGACAACAATGAATTAATCGATCGGACATATGATGTTGAAATGTTGTTCAAATCGAACGGTTCCTTCCGGTGATTAGATCTCAACTGGATGGCCAACTGAATGTCGGGTATGCGGGACGAGTACTGAGCGGCCAGACGGATCTGATTTTGGTTTTGGTTATCAGCCGTGGAATCGATGTCCAGGTGTTCATACAGAGCGACTTTCAAAGCCATCGCTGCTTTCGATGTCGCGGTTTTTTTAAACTGTTTTCCGACATTTTTGTACTTAATATCGTCAATCATTTGATTGAAATACGAATCTTCTATCAGAGATCGTTTGCAAGCGTATGATTGAGGTTGACCTGAGGCACGATCTATAGGGCACTGCCTGTAGTACCAGTTCTGGACATTGGCAGCCGACGATCCGTCCTGAACGGCCAGATCTTGGGCAGTGATGACCCGGTCTTCGGTCGATTCGAAAACACCGGTAACAATGACGGCTCCTTTACAGTGACATTGTTCACCAAAATCGGCGTGAGCCTGGAGTCGGGCTTTCTGGGACAGTTCGGGGTTGTCAGTTCGTAGTAGATCTCGTTGGATCGGGTCGGGTAGGCGACAACAGCATCGGCATCTGGTGACTGTCATGTAGATCACATAATCAATTATTTTAACTTATTTTCATAGTATTTCACAACTATAAATAATTTTTTAATAGAAAGTTATTTAATAATTTTATTGATTTAATTTTTAATGCAATTATTTTATTTAATAATCTACAATTGCACAAAAAATAAACTAGTACATATTAAATGATCAAATATGATTTTATTATATTCATTGTTGAATAAAAATATTCAAAATTATTAATAAATCTGTGTTAAATTAATTATGTTATATTTGTTTTTTAAGTTATCATAATAACAATTAATTTTCATCAATTTTATAACATATTAATTAATAATAAAAATATCAAATAATTCCGGCATCTCTGGCCAGTGTATAGAAAATACTAGACTTGTTTGTCAGTAAAATATCGGGTTCGTCAAACTCGGCTACCCGTCCATTGTTGAACACTATTACCCGATCCGAATCCATAATCGTATTGATTCGGTGGGCAATTGTCAGTACAGTACACGAACTGAACTCCTGGCGAATAGTTTGCTGAATAAGTGCATCGGTTTCGATATCGATGGCAGCCGTGGCCTCGTCGAGGATCAGTACAGATGTATGACGAAGCAGTGCTCGGGCCAGACAAACAAGTTGTCGCTGACCGACACTTAGATTATCGCCCGATTCGGCAACCGGTGAATCCAATTGATTGTCCAACGACTGGACAAACTGTTTGAGATGTGACTGTTCTAATACTGACCACAAATCCGAATCGGTATGATTGCCAAAGGGATCCAAATTTGATCGAATAGTACCCGAATAGAGTACCGGTTCCTGTGGTATGATTGTCAACCGCGACCGTAACTCTTGGAGACCCAATCGGCTGATGTCGATGTCGTCGATGATAATGTTGCCCATTGCCGGCTCAATGATCCGAAAGTTTAGTTTTTTTAGTTTAGTTTTTTTAGTTTAGTTTTTTTAGTTTAGTTTTTTTAGTTTAGTTTTTTAGTTTAGTTTTTTAAGTTTAGTTTTTTTAGTTTAGTTTTTTTAGTTTAGTTTTTTAGTTTAGTTTTTAGTTTTTAGTTTTTAGTTTTTAGTTTTTAGTTTTTAGTTTTTAGTTTTTAGTTTTTAGTTTTTAGTTTTTAGTTTTTAGTTTTTAGTTTTTAGTTTTTAGTTTTTAGTTTTTAGTTTTTAGTTTTTAGTTTTTAGTTTTTAGTTTTTAGTTTTTAGTTTTTAGTTTTTAGTTTTTAGTTTTTAGTTTTTAGTTTTTAGTTTTTAGTTTTTAGTTTTTAGTTTTTAGTTTTTAGTTTTTAGTTTTTTTTTAGTTTTTAGTTTTTAGTTTTTAGTTTTTAGTTTTTAGTTTTTAGTTTTTAGTTTTTAGTTTTTAGTTTTTAGTTTTTAGTTTTTAATTTTTAGTTTTTAGTTTTTAGTTTTTAGTTTAGTTTTTTTTAGTTAAGATATACCTTTTCCTGGGGTTTAATGCATACATCAATACCGCGTAGCACCAGATCTAATCCGGGACGATATCGGGTACCATAGCCTTCAAATTTTACGAACCGTTTGACGGCCAATTGGCCGGCAGGTCAATAGCGGTCGAGTGTCAGTCGGTCTCAGATTCTAGTTGAATATATTCATCTACCCGTTCCACTGAAACGATACTGTTTTCAATGAGAATAAACACTTTTATCAGATACTCAAACGTCGGCATCAGTCCGATGGCCAACGACAGGGTAACACCTATTGAACCGCCAGTCAGTCGATCTTTGGACAGTACGGCAAATAGTGCGGCAAAAAATATCAATAGATTGCTCAGCACAGCCAAACGTATCTCTAGCCAACTGATGGCCAAAACATTTGGATACAGACACATCAAGTCGGGACTCTATTTCCCGTACAAACCTATCTGAACAACGATAGGCCCGAACACTGGACAGACCGTTGACCGACTCTTCAAAGTGCGATATGATTTGCGATCGAGTGATTGACTCTAATCTATAAATAAATATATATATATATATAATTATAATTATTAGTAGACATAACCAAAAAAATATTGTATTAGTTATTTATTTTTTTACCTTTTTAATTGACGGGATGTTTTTTGTAAAATTCCTATTTTAAATTTAAAAATTCTTAATTTTTTTCAGTTTGTTTGTATATTGTTTTTAATTGAAAACATTATCTGAAATAATACAAATAAACTAACAATAACCACAAGTAACAGACAGACAGACAGACAGACAGACAGACAGACAGACAGACAGACAGACAGACAGACAGACAGACAGACAGACAGACAGACAGACAGACAGACAGACAGACAGACAGACAGACAGACAGACAGACAGACAGACAGACAGACAGACAGACAGACAGACAGACAGACAGACAGACAGACAGACAGACAGACAGACAGACAGACAGACAGACAGACAGACAGACAGACAGACAGACAGACAGACAGACAGACAGACAGACAGACAGACAGACAGACAGACAGACAGACAGACAGACAGACAGACAGACAGACAGACAGACAGACAGACAGACAGACAGACAGACAGACAGACAGACAGACAGACAGACAGACAGACAGACAGACAGACAGACAGACAGACAGACAGACAGACAGACAGACAGACAGACAGACAGACAGACAGACAGACAGACAGACAGACAGACAGACAGACAGACAGACAGACAGACAGACAGACAGACAGACAGACAGACAGACAGACAGACAGACAGACAGACAGACAGACAGACAGACAGACAGACAGACAGACAGACAGACAGACAGACAGACAGACAGACAGACAGACAGACAGACAGACAGACAGACAGACAGACAGACAGACAGACAGACAGACAGACAGACAGACAGACAGACAGACAGACAGACAGACAGACAGACAGACAGACAGACAGACAGACAGACAGACAGACAGACAGACAGACAGACAGACAGACAGACAGACAGACAGACAGACAGACAGACAGACAGACAGACAGACAGACAGACAGACAGACAGACAGACAGACAGACAGACAGACAGACAGACAGACAGACAGACAGACAGACAGACAGACAGACAGACAGACAGACAGACAGACAGACAGACAGACAGACAGACAGACAGACAGACAGACAGACAGACAGACAGACAGACAGACAGTAATAAATGCAACAATCAGTGCGGCCAACACTGATAGATAATAACGTGTTTTCGATCGGATGGTATCGACATCACTGCTGCTGTAGGCGCCCGATATATCCGATGTCCATTTGGACAGCCAATTGTTTACAGTTATTTGGCAATCAGTAGCTCCTATTTGACTAATTAAATATATGATAGCCAGTATAATAGACATTAAACGTATATATTTAATATAAACCTAATTATAAATTAAAAAAATAACTAATTAACTAATTTTTAATTATTATTAATATCTAAATAATCAATTAATATGGTTTACGTACACCAAAATTGATTCTTTCAGACTCCAAGTGCTCTTCATCGATAAGCTGTGTATTAGAAATGGTTGTCATATTGAATGGTTGGTCACCAGCAGGGTTTTAAAAATGGCAGGCATAAACAATAGATGCCAATTTTGCCAAATGCCTGCCCTGCCTCTGCCATGCCCTAGGCATCTATTTTCAGGTGGTGACACCTATTATTTTAATTTTATATTATTAATTTATTTATAAAACATTGTTTTTATAATATATTTGCTTGTATTTTTGTTTTGTATACCTTTAATTAAAAGGTAATATCATTGGAAATAAATAAATTAATTGTAAATTTAATTAACACTCAAAAACACTAAACTACATTATTTTTATAAATACAGTTGCTTTTTAGCAATTTAAATTGGCAGGCAAATAAAATAAATGCCCAAAATGCCAGGCATTTATGGCATCTATTTGGGCATTGCCAGGGCAGGAATTTATTTTCTTAAAACCCTGGTCACCAGTAGTATCAACAGTAGATGCTATTGTTGTTGTTGTTGTCGATAGTATCAATGCTATGTTGACCATCAGTTAACATATCTTCATCTTCTTCTTCTTGATTGTCTATCTGTTGTTGTCTATTGTTGACCGAGTATTGTGCGACCAAATCGATAAACTCTTGATTGTTGTCCAACAGCTGTTCATAGGTACCGATAGCGGCCACTGAACCGTCTTTCAATACGACAATAAGGTCGACATCGGGTAACACAAACAGCTGATTGGTGACCAAAATACGTGTTTTTTGACGCAATAGACCGGTTCGCGAACTAAATACTTCGGTCATAATATGTTTGCCCACATGACTGTCCACTAAATATAAATAATTAATATAATAATAAAAATAAATTATTAGTAAAATAAAAACCTGCGGACAACGGATCTCCAAACAAATAGATGTCGGCATCAGAATAGACGGCCCGACATAAACTGACTCTTTGTTTTTGACCGCCACTTAAATTGATACCCTTTTCGCTGATTTTAGTCTCATCTCCGCCGGACAGTTGCATAATATCTGGTTGGATTAGAACAGTAGTAGGATTGTCAAACGAATATTAACTAAAAAAGTACATTCAATAGACTTGAGGAGTATGTTTGAACTAAAGATTAAATTTTATAATTATTATAAATTATAATTATTTTATTCTAATTTTAACACTAAAATTGTTAGATAGATTAGATAGATTAGATAGATTAGATAGATTAGATAGATTAGATAGATTAGATAGATTAGATAGATTAGATAGATTAGATAGATTAGATAGATTAGATAGATTAGATAGATTAGATAGATTAGATAGATTAGATAGATTAGATAGATTAGATAGATTAGATAGATTAGATAGATTAGATAGATTAGATAGATTAGATAGATTAGATAGATTAGATAGATTAGATAGATTAGATAGATTAGATAGATTAGATAGATTAGATAGATTAGATAGATTAGATAGATTAGATAGATTAGATAGATTAGATAGATTAGATAGATTAGATAGATTAGATAGATTAGATAGATTAGATAGATTAGATAGATTAGATAGATTAGATAGATTAGATAGATTAGATAGATTAGATAGATTAGATAGATAGATATTAGATATTAGATATTAGATAGGCCTACCGCTAATTCGTTGACAGTCAACTGTTATCAAATTGACAATTTCTCCATTAGGTGTGAGCCGTTTGCTATCATTGCTTAATACCAGTTCTTTGCGATATATGGCTGATGTTAGACACGATTTAATTCTTATACCTTTATTTTGATAATTTTATAATTAATGTTTAATTATTTATTAACACTTTGTACGTTAGCTCAAGGATGTATTATTAAATTTACTAATTGTAAGTATTTATAAGTTATTATATAATATAACAATTATGTAAACAAGTTTTTTTAAAAAAAAGGTAGGTCAATGTTGTTAAATATTTTATCGTTTTTAGGCTACAATTTTTCAAATCTTCAAAACTAGGATGTAAAATCTCTAAAAAAAATCATAACTTCTCCACCCTCCCTCCCTCCCTCCCTCCCTCCCTCCCTCCCCCGCTACCCCAGCTATTAACACTGATATATCATACCTCCCCGAGCCTAGCATATCAGTTATGATAATATTATGATTAATAGTTTTTAATAAGATTTTTTTATTCTAATTAGGTTATAATTAATTTTTTTAAAACCATTGCTACCTATTTTGTAAAAGTGATTCTATATATATACAGTACATAATTATATACCATTGTATTAATTATTTCGTTTGAATAGGCGTTAAGTAACGAATAGATAATATTGATTATAACTATCATTACTGTATAGACATATCCGTGCCATTGATGTTCATATTTATCGTCAACGAAATCAATTAATAATCTATAAAAAATACAACAACAAAAACAATTATTAGTTAAATGTTTTAAAATTTTAAGTAAAAATATAGTACTAACTCTTATAATACCGTATAGTAAAACATATATTTAAAAAAAATTAATTAATTAACTAAAGTATTAAAAATAATATTTAGTAAAATTGTTCACCCCACCTTATACCACAATTTTTTTCCAGATTTTTGCCATTTTACACTCACTATATCCCCACTATAACCCCCCCCTGAGATCGACCATCTATCGAAACCCTGATATTTACCTACAATTATATTATCAACAAAAACAATAAACAAATAAGTTTAGTTTTCAATTTTTATAATATATAAAACTTCATAAATAAATTAATTTTTTGAAAAAAATTTACTGATTTATTCATTGTTTTAACTTAAGAAATGTGCAGCTCATGTACATGTATATCATGGTTGTAAAATGGGAGGTAGGGGCGGTAAGGTGTTTGTCGTATTGTTGTTTAACCCCCTACCTCTCACCCCACCCTTTTACTTACTTGATAATAAGTGGTTGTAAAGTTGGTATAATATAGGCTACTATAAACAATATAATTGGTCCGATAATATTCAGGCCATACATTTTGAAAATGACCATGAACACATTAGTATGATAATTATTATTATTATAATTATTATTATTTCTATTTTAATTATTATTATTATTTATAAACCAATGTTTTGCAAACAATTTGTAATTATTTAGACTACTGTCCACTGAACGTAATGGCCAGAGATCTTGTAATTGCAATGATTTTCGCCAACCATTTATAAATAGCATATCAATCCAATGGTAGGTTATCTTTGATAGATAGGATGCCCTCTCTTTTGGATGCACTATACGTTGGTGTTGATGACAATTACTTGTATTGTGAGCTAACTGGTCATCAATATCCATGTTTAATGTCGGCTGTTTATCAGCAAATGTTGTTATAATTAGCAACAATGCCGTCAATAAAAATGACTAACATCTCAATATATACTCATAGTATCTAAGCTTATCATCCGGTGCTGTAGTGTATGTAACAATAGATAGTATTAGACTGACCACCCAATTTATTAGTAAACCTGTATAATAGTATAAAATTATTATTTTCACCTGTATTTTCCTGTATATTAAATATTATATTCCTGTATGTTAACCTGTACTTAAATAACAATATATTGGTATATATTTATAATTTTAATTAATAAATTTAATTTAGATGCTATAATTATATAAAAAGTTGAAATTATTTTATATTGAACATGAACTATTTTAGAAATATTTATAAATTTTTTATATTTAAAAAAAATATTTCAAATATTTAAACTGTATATTAAAAATACAAGCAATTTTTTACTAACAAAACTTGATTCATAGTTATTTTATACTTTTATTAATCAATTAGTTTAACATATTTTAAAACTGTATATTTTATTATACAGGTTAGCCCTTTCCTGTCACCTGTATTAGACCCTTGATTCCTGTATAATACAGGCGTCACCTGTATGGGTGGTCAGTCTAGATAGTATACTTAAAAATGTGTCAATCAATAGGTATATCCAAACACAACCGCTTCGATGGACACCATAGAGACGATGGCTGTAATAGATAATACACAGAACTAGTCGGGTAGCTGTTTGTATGGCTGTCTTTACAATGTAGGCCGTACTCGGAATGTCCGACCAGTGATATTGGCGAACCAAACTGAGTATCAATTCAACAAATAGGACAACTGTGCTGACAATGGCCAGACATAGACGACATGTATTATATGAGTTCCATTCAATTGATGGTTTGTTCGATGATTTATAACAATTATAGATAATATATGGTAGGCTTAGCCATAGGAATATACAGGGAATCCATGCAAACCATGTCTCGATCATACATGAACTTAGATGAGGATCGGGTGTATACCATGTTTGGTGTATATCCTGTAGTTTAATGATATGATAATTGATTATTTGAAAAATACCAGTAAATTTGTTGAATAAAAAAATAAAATATTAAATTAGTATTTACCCATAATTTTGTTGTACAAATATTTTCAAACATAGATAATTAATTAATTAATTAATTAAAAAATATAAAACAATATTAAAAAAAATTGTATCTGAATTCTTAAATCTGATATATATATATATATATATATAATAAAATTTATAAATATTTTTACAATATTAATATTGAACAAAACAATTTTGATTATTAATTATGACCGAAATGCCGAAAACAATTGAAGAAAGAGAGATATTGTTTCGGAGATTCATTAAACTTAGAGCCAAAGGAGTGAAGACATCAGCGATTATAAGGGAATTGGGTAAGTAATACAAAACTTTATTTAAATTACAATTAAATAATATTGTTTTATTTTAATAGATATTTCAAACAAAACATTCATCGAATGGTCACGAATTGATTACAACGAAGAGATTTTCTTGACAAAAGCAAGACCTGGTGGTCGACCAAAGGCTACGACTCCAGAAGATGAACAAACTTTAAGAGATTTAGCTCTTGGACAGAATTGGGATGACATCAATGTATTGAGATAAAACCCATCCATCCGTGACAACGACCGATTGTCAACACTTTCAAATACGGCTTTAATAAATCATTTGAGTCAATCAGGTAATATAATAAAAAAAATAATAATAAATTATTAATAAAATTTATTTAGGTGTAAGGCGTCGTGTGGCAGCTATTAAAGAGAAATTAAGACAGTGTCACATTGAAAGATGGCTCTCTTATGCTAATAATATGCTTAATTGGACACTTGAAGATTGGTCGAGAGTTATATTCATAGATGAATTTAGTGTTACCACAAGCGAATCTGGCCGTGTTTATGGACTCAAAGGTACACGTTTCGAACAGAAAAATATCGCTCATGTGTCCAGGACATAGATTCATTTATACTATTGTAAGTAGAAATAATTATTAAAATTATATATTTGTAACAATATTTTTTTCAGCTTTGGTTTCCACGGCTTAGGCGAACTGGCTGTTGTTGATAGACTCAACAGTGAAGCTTATGCACAATTTCTTGAAGAAAAAGTTTTGCCTTCTATTGAAAGACGCTTTGATGATGGAAATTGTCTTCTTCTTCACGACAATCATCCAAGTCATGTCTCACACTATGTGAAGGATTGGGTCACTACTAATATTGGTAATGTTCAGGATTTTGTTATTCCGCATCCAAGGTATAAAATATTCATATATTTAGAAAAAAATTGTCATATATTTTTGTTTTATATAGTTTGTCACCGGATTTAAATCCTACTGAAAATGTCGGCGCAATGATTAAGAATAGATTACGCAATCAAATTGCAACTATTGAATCACAACAGCAATTGTTAACAGCTCTTCAAAATTCACACCAAGATTTGAGTAATGATCGTCAGTTTTTTATAAATTTGGTCGAATCAATGCCAAGACGTCTTCATGCCGTTATTGATGCTCTTGGAAGACATACTCGTTACTAATCCAAGAATTTTGATATTTTTCGTTTTTCTTATTTAATAATAAATTCAATACTAATTCAATTCAATATTTAATAATAATTAAAAAATTTTAGTTTCATAACATACATAAATTACGTTTTTATTTATTATTATTAACAATTCAATTGAAATGTAATGATAAAATAGCTAACTTTTAGAAAAATTAAATTTTATATTAAAATTACAATAATATTTTAAAATATTTTTTATGATTTATCAATCGGGGGAGTGGGGTTATATTTAAAAATAAACCGCATTAAAATCCGATAAATAGTTTTTAAGATATTAAACGTTTTATCTGTGTAGTTAGTTAGTTTAAAAACTGTATATATTAATTTTTTGTTAAATATATGGTTCACATACTACGTTCGCACTTAAGGGGAGGGGAGGGAGGGGTTAGCGAAAGAAACTTTTGTCGAACGACGGGGTACAGGAGGAATAAAATTTTTAAACTTTCTCGTGGAGGGTCGGGGGGTAGAAGTTAGAGACATGTAAGCGTATTTCATTATTAGTTTACACTTTATTTATCAGTTTGTTTTTAATGTTTTAATGATTATATTGTAACCTTACTGTAACTTCCTGTAATTATTCTAAAAAATTTTTTAAAAAAATTTGGCATGACCCGTGTATAAAGACACTTTTTATTTTAAAAAAATTTTATATTTATAATATTATTTTTATATATAATAATTTTATTAATATTTTATTTTATTATAACATTTTATTAATTTATAACAAACAATATGTTATTAATTAATTGTATATTTATTATAATAGATAAAAATGATTTTATAAATATAAATTTTTATTAAATAAATTTAGTTTTTAAATTTTATTAGTATAATAAGAAGTATAATAAATAATTTTTAATTTAATAAAATGAAGTAAAAAATAAAATATAAATAAAATAATATAAAAATAAAAATAAAAAAACCAATAAATTGTTAATACAGATATATAATGCTTAATGATTTTATATCAAGTTTGGCTCATTTTATGTAAAAAAACTTCAATGACATAAATAAATTGATATAAACCAATAATCATGGTGACTTATAAATATTTATAAACATACTTAATCATACTACAATAGTGAATAAAATCAAAAATTACAAGTCACTAAAAAAATATATAAAAAATTTTAATAAATAAATATATATATATATATATTAACTAGTCTTAATTCTACACGTGTCGTTAAAAAAGTTCAATTTTCAACTGTAGCTTTTAATAATTTTAATTTTTAGTAAAATCAAATAAATATAGTTATTTTTTTAAACTAAAAAAATCATAAAAATTTATTTAATTAAAATTATGAGTTGTATAAGCCCTGAAGTTTACGCTGATATTACTAATAATATTGATGCTATTTATTTAGAGTCAATACAATTGATTACTAATGACAAACGGTATTAAAAATTAAATATATAAAACTAATTAATTTTTATTAATTTCTATTAATTTCTATTAATTTATTACTATTACTAATTACTATTACTATTACTATTACTATTATTATTACTATTATTATTACTATTATTATTACTATTATTATTACTATTATTATTACTATTATTATTCATTATTAATATTAATAATTTTTATAAATAATTATTAATATTTTTATTACAAACTAACAGTTCATACGATCTGATTGTTGACCTGGGCTTCGGTGACGGCAGATTAACCCGAATGTTGTCCCAAAACGTATCGCACAAACAATTGATAGCCATCGATGTCGTACCCGAAATGTTAGCACACGCTGTGGCCAACAGTTCAGACGATACCAGCATTGAGTATGTCTTACAAGATATGAGTGTCCCGTGGCTTGAGTTGAGTCCACATATCAGACAATTGGAGTCCAAAGTGGATCTACTGTTCACTAACGTAACGCTAAACTATATGTCAAATAAACGGCAAATAATGGAAATCATTGGAAAGTTGCTGACAAACGGTGGACTGTTTTTTGCTAATATTGTTATTTACAAAGATCTGAATGAAAAACAACTGTTGGACAATAAGTTTGAGGAAAGTCAACAACAACTGTGTTGTCAATCAATTGATCAACAATTTAATGATTGGAAACAATCATTAATCGACAATAAGTTTCATATAAAACAATTTAAACTATTGGATGAAAATGAAATAATGACTCGAAAACAGATAATAGGTTTTTGTATATATATATATATATATTAATAAATATAATTTATTAAACTTCATTTAGTTATAATTGGATTTTAATTAATTATTTTTTTCAGATTATATGCCAGAAATATTAGACTGCTCTACTATCTATTATAAAGATCGGACCCTTTTTGACAAAGAGGTCAAAAGTGACCGCTTTAAAGATAAAGTGTTTAACACGTATTTTAGTTTACCAGTCGGAGCGTCGGTAACTGAGACCAACCATCAACCAGTGTTGATGTCGTGGAAACAATTTTTAGCGGACAATAGTATTAATGAAATGAAATTTTCCTGGCATTTCATACAATTCAAGGCATACAATAAATAAATTAGTATTTTAGTTTTTAAAAAAAAATAACAATTTTTTTACATTTAGTCAATTGATTTAGCAATCATTTTAAATAAGTAAAAAAATATTTTTGTTTTTATTTTGTTTTCTAAATATTATTAATTTTATTGTATTTTAAAAAATTTACTGTTTTTTGTGTTTAGTAAATTTAAATATTATTATTAATATTATTATGAAATATTTTTTTGCAAATTAAAAAATACACAAAAATATGAATTGATTTTTTAATTATATATAAAGTATGTGAAATTTTAATAATTACTTATATTGTAACGTTTTGCGCCTATGCACTGCTAAACTGCAAAACTCACAAACGAGTAAATACTCGACAAAAATGATCTGACTTTCAAAAAGAGTGGTTGTATGTCTAGATTGGTATACATTGTATTATATAACACAATGTATTATTTAATTTTCTAAATGTTTCAATAAATTTTAGTATTGGTTTAAATAAAATCTATCAATTGTGCCTTTATCCAACATTATCAACTACACTGTATCTTCACTTCACTTTGAACTCTCTTGCTTAAACAACAATATTGACGTTTACTTGGACCACAGTATTGACCAATAAGTTTCCGCACCGCTGATTGACCGTCTATTGTCTGCGCTACCGTACCTTTGACTGCACAGGCGTACCATTGACTGCGCTGGCGTAGCATTGACTGCACTGCCGTACCATTGACTAGGCTACCGTACCATTGACTGCGCTGGCGTAGCATTGACTGCGCTGGCGTAGCATTGACTGGGCTACCATACCATTGACTGCACTGCCGTACAATTGACTGCACTGCCGTACCATTGACTGCACTGCCGTAGCATTGACTGGGCTACCGTACCATTGACTGGGCTACCGTACCATTGACTGCGCTGGCGTAGCATTGACTGCACTGTCGTACCATTGACTGGGCTACCGTACCATTGACTGCGCTGGCGTAGCATTGACTGCGCTGGCGTAGCATTGACTGCACTGCCGTATCATTGACTGGGCTACCGTACCATTGACTGCGCTGGCGTAGCATTGACTGCGCTGGCGTAGCATTGACTGGGCTACCGTACCATTGACTGCACTGCCGTACCATTGACTTCACTGCCGTACCATTGACTGCACTGCCGTACCATTGACTGCGCTGGGGTAGCATTGACTGCGCTGGCGTAGCATTGACTGCACTGTCGTACCATTGACTGGGCTACCGTACCATTGACTGCGCTGGCGTAGCATTGACTGCGCTGGCGTAGCATTGACTGCACTGCCGTACCATTGACTGCACTGCCGTACCATTGACTGCACTGCCGTACCATTGACTGCACTGCCGTACCATTGACTGCACTGCCGTACCATTGACTGCACTGCCGTACCATTGACTTGGCTACCGTACCATTGACTGCGCTGGCGTAGCATTGACTGCACTGCCGTACCATAGACTGCACTGCCGTACCATTGACTGCGCTGGCGTAGCATTGACTGCACTGACGTAGCATTGACTGCACTGCCGTATCATTGACTGCACTGCCGTAGCATTGACTGCACTGCTTATATTAGTTTATAAAAATATTTTTCCGCACCGCTGATTGACCGTCTATTGTCTGCGCTACCATTTGACTGCACTGGCGTACCATTGACTGCGTTGGCGTAGCATTGACTGCACTGCCGTACCATTGTCTGGGCTACCGTACCATTGACTGCACTGCCGTACCATTGACTGCACTGCCGTACCATTGACTGCGCTGCCGTAGCATTGACTTCACTGCCGTACCATTGACTCCACTGCCGTACCATTGACTGCGCTGGCGTTGCATTGACTGCACTGCCGTACCATTGACTGCACTGCCGTAGCATTGACTGCACTGCCGTAGCATTGACTGCACTGCCGTAGCATTGACTGCATTGACTGCACTGCTGTAACATTGACTGCACTGCTTATATTAGTTTATAAAAATATCAAAACAGTAGTAATAAAAAAAATTATAAGCCAGTTCAAAATGATAGAAAGCATTTCTAGAAAAACTCAAGAAAAAAAGTAAGTAATTTGGTAAGTAATAAACTCTACGGCCATACCGGCGCCGATACCACTGCTCGAACCGGTAATCAATACTACTTTTCTATTGAAATCATCGTTTTTTGTAACAATTTCCATATTTTTTATTTAAAAAAAATTAAAACAATTTTATTTTACAAATTTTTTTTAACTTTTATTATTATAATATAATTAACAAAAAAAATTGAAAATAAAAATTCTAAGTAAATAGATATATTAATTTCCACGTAGACATTATATATTAATAACAACAAAAATTTATTTTTATTATATTTTCACGAACTCCTGAAAGGATCCGTATCTGAATTCTATATGTCCTTCCGTCCGCTTTTTACTGAATTTTTAAATTTTGACTTCAGATTTGGATTAAGCATCAAAAATAAGTTATAGGGGATCGGCATTAAAATTTTGATATCTCTTCATGAACATAGAGAAAATGGCGGCCAAAGTAAAAAAAAAATTAGGTAAAAATTTTTGAATATAGATTTGAATAAAACATTAAAAACAAGCATAATAAATATGCTTTAAAATTTTGAAATCTACGGGAACATAGAAAAAATGGAGGTCAAAGTAAAAAAAATCAGGTAAAAATTTTAACGTTAAGAATTGTATAGAGCATCAAAAATAAAGTATAACAAATTAGGATTATTTTTTCAAAAAATGCCGGCAAATGTATAAAAAATAAATGTTATTTATTCTAGCATACTGAATCTTTTGATACCCCACATGACTATAGTTGAGTTTATTTTGGCATACTGAATCATTTGATACCCAACATGAGTAAAATTTACTTTGGATAAGGAGTTCGTATGGAAATGCTTTCTAGCATTCTCATCTGGTTTGTAAATTATATTTTCTAATACATTTACTATTTTTTATTTAATTAATAAAAAATTTGTTTATATTTATTTATACAAAATAATATTACAGTAATAATAATAAAAATGTTTAATTATATAAGTTTCAATAAAATTAATATTAATATAAAGATTAAATATAAATCATATTTATTTATAAAATAATAATTATAATATAATGTATTAACAGTTCAATGATTGTGTTGTTGTTGTTGTCGATGATAGGTATGACAAAGTACTTGACCGACAATGAAGTTATAGGCAATGCCTGGTTTCTGACTGTTGGAGGCTATGGAGTGACAGTTATTACCCTATAGTTTGCAACCTATGAGTTGGCCTGTAATCAAAGTGTTCAGCAAAAAAAACTTTACGATGAAATCAGAACAGTCATCATTATATCAACAACAAAAATCGTCACACAGGCATCACTCTCCGAGCCGGAGAAACCATAGAGTTTGGTATCTATGCGATGCATATGAACGCCGACTACTATCCAAACCCCGAACAGTTCAATGTCGACCGTTTTCTACCGGAAAACCGTAACCAACTGACACCCTATGCTCTCTTACCGTTAGGTTTGGGTCCGCGACAGTGTATTGCCAAACGGTTTGCGCAAATGCTCGTCAAACTAACACTCGCGACACTTGTATTGAAATACCGATTCAATACATGTGAACAAACAGATATACCAACCAAAGTACATATAAGTAGTTTTTAAAACGAACCCAAACTTATCAATTGAATCTATAGAAAATTGTTATCTTATTTTTTTATTATTATTATTCAAATTCAAATCAACAAATCTTATAAATAAGTTAATCTCTAATCTAATCCATAATCTTCCAAAAAATTTGAATCCATATTATACTTGAGTCCGCCGTCGACTACCAAACTGTGTCCGGTTATGAATCGGGCGTCCGATGAGCTCAGGAATACAACAGCTGAGGCAATATCCTGTGGTTGGCCTACTCTGGCCAATGGCGTACGTTTTGCTGTCTTTTCGAGTATGTCTAGAAATGTTTGATCATAAGTTCCGGGATGTGATTCAATACCACCCGGACTGTACAGTAGATTTACATATAAAAAAAATAATATATTTTTTTACAAAAAATAACAATATAGTTGACTTACTACTACTACTACTACTACTACTACTACTACCACCTGACTGAGTTAACACGTATGCCTTTACTGCCCAATTCAATTGATAGTACCTTGGTGGCCTGATCCAATGCACTTTTACCAATAATATAATTAAGATAACCTCTTAACTGTATGTAAATAATATTAATATAATATAATATTAAAATTTAAATCAAATAATAATAATAATAATAATAATAATAATAATAATAATAATAATAATAATTAATTAACTAATTACTGGTCTTTCAATAAGATTTGCTGTAATCATAATAATATTGCCATTGGTTTTCTCCAGATAAGGTATGGCCAGTTGTGTTAGCTCTAGTGTAGCATTAATATCAAGTGTTTCGGTTGATTTGAGTCTATCAGTAAACTTCGGGTGAGTTATAAGAGTCGCGTGTAGACCGCCGGCATTGTTGACCAAAATATCTAATTTGCCGAATGTTTCGATGGTTTTGTTTAATAAGTTATTCAAATCATCCGATTTGGTTAGATCTGCGATCACTTCCAATGGCTAATAGACAACAACAACATAATTATTATTATTTTTTTGAATATAAATGATAATTAAAATGTAATTAACAGTAAATTACATTTATTTAAAAGAAATATGTTTTTTCATATAAAATAGAAATAAATAAATTATTTAAATGTTTTTTATTTAAATATATAATTGATAACAGTTTATTACTGTTATGACAAAAAAATTTCTTTATAATATATACAGTGAATCAACTGAATATAATTTTTTTGGAACAGTCTGAAAAAAACCAAGTTTTGTTTTTTTTTTTGAAAAAAGTCTGAAAAAACCAAAAATTGGTTTTTTCATTTATATATATAATTTTAATCAAATATTTTATATTTAATAATTAAATTAATAATTAAAATATATTTATTAATTATATATTTTTTATCTAAGATAACTTGGGTGTATATTGACCACTTGACCACTGGTCAGTTATGATAAAAATTATTTAAAAATGATTATAAAGCATATTTATTATATAATTATAAGATTTTATCATTAAATTTAATTATATTGACCACTTGACCACTGGTCAATATTTATTAAAAGTAGTCTAAATTATTTATATTATTTAATAATTATAATATCTTGATAAAAACTATTTTCTGTCAATATTGACTAAACTTGACCAGTGGTCAAGTGGTCAATATAATTAAATTTAATGATAAAATCAATAATTATATAATATAAATGCTTTATAATTATTTTTAAATAATTTTTATAATAACTGACAAAGGGTCAAGTGGCCAAAAGTGGTCTATATAAACCCAAGTTATCTTAGATAAAAAATATATAATTATTAAATATATTTTAATTATTAATTTAATTATTAAATATAAAATATTTGATTAAAATTATATATATAAATGAAAAAAACCAATTTAGGTTTTTTTCAGACTCAAAAAACCAATTTTTGGTTTTTTCAGACTTTTTTCAAAAAAAACCAAAAATTGGTTTTTTTTTGAAAAAAACTTGGTTTTTTCAGACTGTCCCAATTTTTTTAAATCAATAATTTAATGAATACCTTAAGTTTTTTAGGAGACAATTGTTGTGCATCGACAGCCACTTTGTGTAAAGCATCTTCGGATCTACTGGTGATCACAACATTAGCTCCCAGTGCTGAATATAACTTGACTATTGAAGCACCAATACCAGCACCCGATCCCGTAACCAATACTACTTTTCCTGTAAAGTTTCGTGAGTTTCGCACTTCATCGTAGAACTTATCATTTGATGACATTTTGTTGATATTTATTGATTGATTAAAGTTCTAAACAAAAGAATTAATTAATTCAATAAATATGTTTAGATGTTTAATAGTTCAATAAAATTACCAAATAAAATATAAAATTACTAATTTTTTTGAAAATATATATTTTTTAGTAATTATTCTTATTACATGTATGCGTTTTGTATTAAGTATGTTTAAAAATATTAATAAGTCACAATGATTATTAGTTTATATCTATTTATTTATGTCATTCAAGTTGTTTTTTTCATAAAAATGTTTTCTAAAATTTTCAACAGGTTTAAACCAGTATGTTAAAACAAATAAAAATTTCTCTATTGGCTAATTTACACTTGCTTATTTAATTACAATATTGAAAATGTCAAAATAATTACTTGTATTACTGGTTAAACCATTTAAAAAAAAATTCCATAAAAAACTTGAATGACATAAATAAATTGGTATAATCTAATAATCATGATGACTTATAAATATTAGAATATATTATACTTATTAGAAAACGCATGATAATAATATATATAAAAAATATATTTTCAAAGAAAAATTATAATTATATTTTATTCTATAAAAAAATATAACTAGTTTTGCATGCTCTAACATCTAGTGATATTAAATATTGAATTAATTATTTTATAAGAACATTTAATATATTTAATATTTAATTTTTTATATAGTTATTTGTCATCTATAAACATCTGGAAGTTATAGAATTATTTTGTATGCCATAGCACTTCCTAACACTATTCCTAACCCATGTATCAAATCCTAAAAACCTCTATAATATGTAACAGTAATATAGGTGATCACTCTAGTTTTGAACTCAATCAATAAATAATAATAATAAATTATTTATAATATAACGATTCCGGTAAAAACAATGTCAAGCATCAAAACAAGAATAAAAAATATATATTAAAATTTTGATAACTTTTCGGAAACAAAGAAAATGATGCCTAAAGTAAAAAAATTAGGTAAAAATTTTAACGTTGTAATAGTAAAAAGCATAAAAAATATGATATGATATATTAGTATAATTTAAAAAAATGGTGTCAAACGTAGTAAAAATTTTATAAATTTTTTTAAGTATAAATTTTAATAAAGCATCAAAAACAAGGATAAAAAATATGCATTAAAATTTTGATATCTACGTGAACAAAAAGAATAAGTATAAGCGGTAAAAGTATTATAATTATTGATGATTATTTTGTTATACTAAATCATTTGATACTACACATGACTATAGTTGTTTATTTTGTCAAACCGAGTCAATTGATACTCTAATGACTAAAGTTGTTTTTATTTTGTCATACTGTCATAGTATGCCTTCATAGCTATCGGTTCATTCGTTTTGGGTTTTTGGGTCATCGTAAATATCGACTATACCGTCTAATAATCATAATGACTTATAAATATTAGAATATATTATACTTTTAGAAAACGCATAATAATAATAATTTCTATAAAATAAATATTTTCGAAAATATTTATAATTATAATTATTTTATTTATTAAATACGCATTCTCTGACATCTAGTGATATTAAATATTGAATTAATAAATATAAAATTATGTAAAAATTACATATGGCCACTAATCATTTTGACAATTGATTTTCGAGATAATAGTGGTCTGCGGTCAAATTTTAACTAAAATTATCCGTTTTTCGGGTATATCTCGGGAAAGGGTCAACCGATCTGACCGGGACCAATTTTGCCGATTTAATTTAGTTATTAACTACATGTTAGCTATTTGTCATTTTTTTGTATGTCTAATGGTTACCGAGATAATTAAGGTCTGCGGGTATTTTTATATAGTAGAATATTTTTAAGTATTTGTTAATTTTATCGGTTATATCTCGGGAACGGGTTAACCGATCCGACTGTGACTAACTCTGCCGATTACAATATTTTATTCCCTACATTTGAACTAATGGTCAGAAATTTTTCCGACAATTGGTTTTAAAGATAATCGGGGTCTGCGGTCAAATTTTATTAAAAAATACCCGTTTTCAGGTATATCTTCTGAACGGGTCAACCGATCTGACCGGGACCAACACTGCCGATTAAAGTTAATTAGTCCCTACAAAATAACTAATGGCCACTATTTTGTCTGACCATTGGTTTTCGAGATAATCGGGGTCTGCGGGTATAATTTATCATAAAAACCCGGTTTTTCGGGTATATCTCATGAACGTGTCAACCGATCTGACCGCGACCATCACTGCCGATTAAAACTTATTAGTCCCTACAAGTTTACTATTGGTCATTTTTTTGTCAGACCGACGGTTCTCGTTATAAATGGGGTCTGCCATAAAGGTCTGCATATCAGTCACCTCCTATCAGTTTTTAAATTTTTATGTTACTATATAGCCGCTATAATTATACAAACTAATGGTTTTCAGTCTATTTATGCTATTCAAGTTTTTTTTTCTGAAAATGCTTTCTAGCATTCTTATCTGGTTTTATATGTTTTTCAACTGTAATCTATTTATATACCTGTATATATCAAATCAAATCAAATCAAATTTTATTTATACAGCCTTGCATTCAGTTTAATAACTGTTATTCTTGCAAGACTGTCAGTAAATTAAAATTACAAAAATTATAAAATAATAATTATAAAATAATAATTATAAAATTATATAATAAAAATTAGTTATGGTTAATTATTAAAAATATTTTTATCAAATTCTTAAAATTTTTAAAATCTTTAGATTCTCTAATATTAATATCAAATATATAATCTATATATATATTATATATTATAACAATAGATGAATTTTATTCAAAATTAGCAGTTTTTATAAAATTATAAAATATTGTTTATTTATAATTTTTAGTTTTGTAATTGTTATTGTAAATTTGATTTTGACTAGATTATAAATATTTTACATTTATTTTGTTGTATTATTTATCTAATAATATTTTTTAAATCTTTTAAAAATTTATCTAAATATATAGTATTTTACTATACTAAAATAATTTTTTATTATTATATTTATACTAAAAACAAAAACAACAATTAATTGTAATTATATTAGTCTATCAAAAAAAAAGATTTCTGAAATACAAAAACTAAAAATAATAATATAAAAAAAATTATCTAGATTCAATTTTCAAATTAATACATTTGGGTGCATTTGAAAAACTACTTATATGTACTTTGGTTGGTATATCTGTTTGTTCACATGTATTGAATCGGTATTTCAATACAAGTGTCGCGAGTGTTAGTTTGACGAGCATTTGCGCAAACCGTTTGGCAATACACTGTCGCGGACCCAAACCAAACGGTAAGAAAGCATAGGGTGTCAGTTGGTTACGGTTTTCCGGTAGAAAACGGTCGACATTGAACTGTTCGGGGTTTGGATAGTAGTCGGCGTTCATATGCATCGCATAGATACCAAACTCTATGGTTTCTCCGGCTCGGAGAGTGATGCCTGTGTGACGACCGCCCAATGGATAGTCATTTTTGGCAATACGGCCCTCCATTATAGTCGGCGAATGTAAGCGTAGTGTTTCGCATACGACAGCTTCGAGTAGCGGCAGATTATGCAACCGATCGACATCTAGTTGTTGGTCATTATCATCGTTAGTGATGACAACTGTCATAATTTCATCGTAAAGTTTTTGCTGAACACTTTGATTACAGGCCAACTCAAAGGTGGCAAATGAAAGGGTAACAACTGTTACATCATAGCCGCCGTTAATCAGAAACCAGGCGTTGGCTATGACTTCGTCTTCGGTCAAGTATTTAGTCATACCTATCATCAACAACAACAATACAATCATTTCATTATTAGTATATTTATATAATGCCTACCCTTTTCATAGAGTCGATAGTTATCTTCAGTTGTTTTATTGTTATCATTAATAGTCTGGTCTTCAATAGCGTGCGCATCCATAAGTAATTCAACAAAATCCCAACGCTTACCACTACTACCGTTACCACCACTACCCGTCCCAGTGCTAGCTTTTCGCTGACTTATAATATGACGGGTCAGCTGAAAGAAGTACTCGTTGGACGTATCGTCGGTCAGTTGTTTCATACCAATCAAATTAAGGACAAACTGTGGCAATAAAATCAATGCAAGAGTGCGATACCATTTGGGATCTAAAATTTGATTTATATTTATAATAAACGGATGATTTGGATTGACCGCAGAGTTCAAGTCCAATGAGTATACAGAAGCGGCTACGATGTCCATCATTGTGTTTTTGTACATCTGAAGCATATCTATTGTATGACCACTGGCGGCATACCTGTCCATAACTGTTGTCAATTGTTTCAAACATTGTCTAACCTTTGGCATCATTGATCTGCTCTTTGCTGAAGTAAAAGCTGTACTCATTATAGATCGGATCCGTTTCCAGTCCGTGTCTTGTGCTTCATCTATATTGTGACAAAGTATTGGATGATTGTGTGAACTTTGGACCACATGATTGGATCGGTTAACAAAGTTTGGCCAATCATTCAAACAGATCTGTTTGATTAGATTTGGATCAGTGGTTATAAGAATCGGTAGATCTCCGTAAAAGTAACTATAGGTATAATAATAATATGATTATAGATATTATTTGTAATTTATTTTTTAAATAGTTTTAGAAACATGTAATACTAATAAATATGATATAATAAACTGTTACCCATATATGTGTCCATATTTTTTCATACGTTGGAAATCAACATCGGCCCGCGTGCGCCATATTAGCGGCAGATTATTGCCGAAACCGATAACTGGTTTCGGACCAGTTATACCCCGTTTTGACCAATAATCAAAATGTCGATTAAAATATCTATTTGTAGTCAATTATAATATGATAATAATTATTTATAATAAATTTATTTTGTAAAACTTACTTATAAATAAATGTTAGTACTGTAGATATAAAAATTATTGATACTATAGACAACATAGTTTCAAAGTTTTAGAAAAATTTTCTACTATTGATTTGATATTTTTAAAAACTTAAATAAAAAATTATTATTATATACCGTATATATAATATCTAGTAATATAAAATTAATGAATTCATTGAATTGCAATTCATTATATTTATTAGTTTTTCTAGAAATGCTTTCTAGCATTTTCAACTGACAACTGTAGTTTAAACTATAGTTTTAATATTTAAAAAAAACTAA